TCAAATTATTCAATTTGAAAGCCTATGATGGAGGATCATCTATACTGCAAAGATTTGTATAAGCCAGTATTGGGTGATTCGGCTAAACCAGCGGATATGAAAGATGAAAGCTGGAAGAAGCTAGGTAGAAAGATGCTAGCTATAATCAAAAAATGGGTTGATATCAACGTGTTCCATCATGTAGCGCAGGAGTCAAATGCTCACATTGTTTGAAAAAAATTGGCAGCATTGTATGAGAGAAAAACATGTATGAATAAAGTTATGCTTGTTAAAAAGATTACAACTTTACAGTACAGGGATGGATGATCTGTTACAGAGCACTTGAGTGATTTTTAAGATATATTTAATCGAATGACTACTATGAAGCTTAATATGGATGATGAAATGAAGGCATTATTTCTTTTGGGTTCATTGCCAGACAGCTGAAATACTCTAGTTGTGACTATTCTTAATTCAGCTCATGATTATAAGGTGACATTGGAGATGGTAAAGGACAATATGCTTAATGAAGAAGCGAGGCGAAAAGATGTAGACCCTGAGAATCAAGCTCTAGTCACAGAGAATAGGGGTAGAAACATCGACAGAGGTCAGGACTCAAAAAGTCGTGGTAAGTCTAAACATAGATCCAAATCTAGAGGTAAAGTGAAGTGTTTCCATTGTGCTAAGACGGGTCATATAAAACGAAACTGTAGAATCTTAAAGCAAGAGCGAAAAGATGAGAAAGGTAAGAGTTCAGATGATGGCAATGTTACAGTAGTGAATTCAGATAGTGATTCAGTTACTTTGATTTGTACACATGATGATTGTAATCATGTTAGTGATCCCGGTATTGAGTGGATAGTTGACATAGGAGCGGCATATCATTGTGTTCCTAAGAGAGTTGTTTACAACTTACAAAGCAGGAGACTTTGGTTGTACCAAGATGGGAAACAAGAGTGTATCGCAGATTGTTGGGATTGGTGATATTGTTGTACAAATTAGTACAGGCTGCATGTTGATTTTGAGGGATGTCAGACACATTCCAGATATGAGAATGAATTTGTTTGCTATTAATGTCCTTGATAAGGAAGGATATGAAAGCCGACAAAAGAATGGACAGTGAAAGCTTTTCAAAGGATCTATGGTAGTTGCAAGGAAAAAACTATGCTGCACAATGTATAAGACATGGATGCAATTGAACGGTAACCAGGTAAATACCGTTGAAAATGATGCTTCAGCAAACTTGTGGCACAGGAGGCTGGCACACATGAGTGAAAAGGAGTTACAGGTTTTGGCAAGGCACTCTCTCATTCCCTTGACCAAAGGTATGTCTCTCGATTCATGTGATTATTGTTTGTTTGGTAAGCATCATAGAGTTTTTTTTTGTAAAAGTTCTCAGAGAAAAAAAATAGATTGGAATTAATTTATTCTGACGTATGTGGTCCCATTGAGGTTGAGTCATTAGGTGGTAACATATATTTTGTTACTTTTATTGATGATGCTTCACGTAAGACTTGGGTGTATATGTTGAAATACAAAAGTCAGGTACTGCAGTATTTTCAAAAATTTCATGCCATGGTTGAAAGGATGACAGGATTACCTTTGAAGTGTATTCGAACTGATAATAGTGGGAAATACATATCTAAAAGCTTTGAAGAGTATTGCTCAAAGCATGAGATCAGGCATGAGAGGACAGAACCTGAAACATCGCAACATAATGGTATAGCTGAAAGAATGAATCGCACCATTGTGGAAAAAGTCAGATGTATGTTGAGGATGGTAAAATTACCAAAGCCATTTTAGGGTGAAGCAGTTAACACAGCTTGTTATTTACTTAACAGGTCACCATCAGTTCCTTTGGGCTTTGACATTCCAGAAAGAGTGTGGACAGGAAAAGATACTTCATACTCTCACTTGAAAGTTTTTGGGTGTAAAGTATTCATGCATGTGCCAAAAGAGCAGAGGTCAAAGCTTGACAGTAAAGCTACACAGTGTGTGTTTATAGGATATGGTGATGAGGAATTTGGTTACAGGGTATGGGATCCAGTAAAGAGAAAGACAGTAAAAAATAGAGATGTGATCTTTCATGAAAAAGAAACCATAGCAGACCTTGAGAAAAATAAAAAGACTACACGAGTTACTGTTGAGTGTGATGTTTCAACACCGACAGAAATTTCACAGGAAAGAGCCACAGATGGTGAAAATGAGCAAGAAACAGAACTTGGGGATATGAATGAGCCAGCTACAGTTGGTGATGAGCCAGATGCTATTAGTTTTGAGCAGGGGAGCAATCTTCTTTATCTGAGAGTGTTGAGCAGGGGGAGCTACCTTCGACATCAAGTAATGTAGAGTCTCAGCCTAGGAGATCTACTAGAGAGCGCAGGCTATCTACCAGGTATCCAAGTTCAGATTTTATTTTAGTTACCAGTGAAGGGGAGCCAGAAAGCTTTCAAGATATGCAGGCTACTCCGGATAGAGAGCACTGGTTAAAAGCAATGAAAGAAGAGATTGAGTCATTGCGAAAGAATGGTACTTGTTATCTTGTTAAACTTCCTAGAGAAAAGCTTGAGCTTTACAGTAACTTGGCCGGAATGAGTTCCCTGGTCAAGGTAAGTTCCAAATGAAACTGTTATGGTGATGAATCTCCTCCTAATGGGGCTGGAGGGAGAGATTGTTAGGAAAATGGGGTCCAGTATCATGTAAGTGATTTTGGACCAAGTAAAGGCCATGGGCCTTGATCTTTTATTTTACACAGAGCCCTAGCTACTTAATAAAAAAGAGGTGGGGTTGTTTTAGGTGTGTGTCGAAAACCAAGCAGAGAAAGAAAAAAAGCCAGGAAAAGCAGAGAGAGAAAAATGAGAAGGGAGAGTTGGTTGAACGGAAGTCAATCCGTGGTCCGATTGAGTTGGAACCTTGTCAGGAGGTTTATGATTCAGAGTTCTATATTCTGAACGGTGAAAATCGGGTTTGAAGCTCTCTAGGAACAAATTCAGGGTGTATTTGTTGAGTCACTTATTTGGTGAGATTTCTCCAATTGTTCCTCTAGTTGTTGATTAGCTCTAGTTTTAGCTAGAGAAGAACTTTGTATAACTATTATTTGATAGTGAAGATTTTTCTGGTGGCCCGTGGTTTTTTCCCTCTACACTGGAGGGTTTTTCACGTAAATCTTGGTGTGCTTTATTTTTCCTGCGTATTTGATTATTGATTGCTGTCTATTGCTTCTGTATTATTGTGATTATTGCTTCAGGCGCAACAGATTCGTCAACTTCTTCGTATCAAGAATGATTTTACTAATGAAAAAGAAGATGAAACTCGTAAGAAGCTTTGGTCTTCAGTTATGGCATGAATTCTTTTATCCTTCTTTAGAGCTTTTTGTGTATTGAAATTTTCTTAGTTTTTTTCTTTGGTTTTGTTTTTACTTTCCCTATTCCGTAACTATTTCCAAATAATCGAACATTGAATTGTTATGTTGGCCTTGATTTTCTTCTGCTTTCTTTTCTTTTTTTTTTTTTCTGGTCAAGCAAGGGATGATTTTATTGAAACAAACAAGGGGAGGGTTCGATTATTGTTTCAAAGAGATCAAGAGCATCATGATTTAAATCCATATACAGGAACGAAGAGCTCAAAACCATATTGTATGATAATGAACTATGGAGTATTTTCAGAAAAGAAAACGACCCAGACAGGGCTTGTTTCTTTTAGCTCGTTCCAGTTTTGATTGGTTAGACAAACTTTTATGGACCTGGATCTCTTATCTTGGAAGGAAAGTTTGGGAGTTGGGCTTAAAATAAAACAAAATCAGGGCAAGTAGGTTGGGCTGGTTGTAAAACCTAAAATAACTCTTCGAGCTATAGAGCCTATAGTCTGTACTTTAACCTAGTAGGTTGTTGTTTTCCGTTTCTTTTCGTCATTGTTGTTGTTGTTGTTTTCATTGGATGACTCAAAAATTATAAGAGCCGTAGTCTATACAAATACGATTCAATTGACAGTTATAGGTTATTTTTAGTAGAATAAAGTTTCTTGTGTGTATTTTAGGTTAATACATAACAGTTTGATAATTGTGGGAGTATGTATTATATATTTTGTATAATGTTTTATTCGAAGCAATACAACTATATTTTGTACAAAAAATCATCCGCTGCAATCTGAAACTCCTTTATAATGGCCATTCTCTCTGCAACATATTTGGCAGAGTACTTGATAAACTTCAGTATTAATTCTTCTTAGTCAAATTTACCAGACTTAAATACAAAGAAAACAACTATTATCATCACCTGAACATTCTTATTACATGTTGTATCAGGTTTCATTTACATTGATAGAGATTTAGGCCGAGGACAACAGGGAAATTCTTTCATTCTTTGTTGATTCTCTGTCAATTCTGTTCTAGTAATAAACGTAAGTCCACCGGAAAAAAAAAAAAAACAAACTTCAGAAAATCTTTTAGAAATTGATCATGATTCATGCTCGGCACAAACATTGTCCACTTACTTCTAAAATGTATCTTCGGTAGGTTGTACTTATCTTTGGCTCTTTCACTTGGTTGTTTCCCGTAAAAGGAATTTCAGGCCGAAGGAATCCTATAACCATGTCCAACATCCCTTTTTCTTTATAACATCAACGTAGCAGAACAGCAACATTCTTGCTATCTCATTTCATTCTTGCACGGTTTTTTACTTCATCCAGGAACAACGCAATTATCTGTCTGTTGATTATTATAATCATAATTTTAAGTGCCCTGTCTCCAAAACCAGCAACCTCGGTCTTCACCAACAACAAATTGCTGTCATAATAAACTGTAAAGATAAATTGAATTCCAATAATAATTACAAAACATGGTATATGACTTTATACATATCTTAGCATAAAACAGTCAACAAATTCAGCAAACAGAAATGCTAATTTCATATTGAAAGACTGATATTTTGAATTACTAATGGCTAATCTCTATATATTTACTGTCCCCACTTGTAGTTTCTCACACCAAAACATTAGAACAGAAGTGAATTTAAAAGATAAAAATGAAGAAGCAAGTTTGTTCAAGTGTCTTTCTTCTCATTTGCGTTCTTTTTCTTTTCCTGAGTGCTGAAGCTCAGACCTGCAGGCCTAGTGGGAGGATAAGAGGGAAAAACCCTCCATCAGGGCAATGCAACCCAGAAAATGACTCTGATTGTTGTAAAGATGGCGAGTGGTACACAACATACAAATGTTCACCCCCTGTGTCAAGCAATACAAAAGCAACACTGACACTTAACAGCTTTGAGAAAGGCGGGGACGGTGGTGCACCATCCGAATGTGACAACCAATACCACTCGGATGATGATCCTGTGGTGGCGCTTTCAACAGGGTGGTTTAACCACAGAAAGAGGTGTTTGAAGTATATCAACATCCATGGCAACGGAAAAAGTGTGAGGGCTAAGGTTGTGGATGAATGTGATTCTACAATGGGATGCGATTCTGACCATGATTACCAGCCTCCTTGTCCTCACAACATTGTTGATGCTTCAAAAGCAGTTTGGAAGGCTCTAGGAGTGCCTGAAAGCGATTGGGGCGAAATGGACATCTACTGGTCAGATTCGGATTGATTACTTTACTCATATTTATAATGTCTTTATTAGAATAAATATTTCTTGTGTGTTTTAGGTTAATGTTTATATTACTATTAATGTAAAATTCATACATCTTATGTTTTCTGTTTTTTAAGTACTACAATTATGTATTAAATCTTAATCATTTGCTCTGTTTTTACTTCTGGCAATCCTTTAACTGTTTCATTGGCTCGATATGAATTTTAATGAATTTTGTTTTTCTAATAATTTTGAGAGGAAATGGATAAATATCAACAATTTTTACTAAAATCTAAAATTAATTATATGAACAATATAATTTCTTGAACTATTGACAAGATCCAAATTAGTCAAATTAGCCATCAATATTCGGCAGAGTTTTCGATTCACATAATAATATTAACACTATGTCATAATCCATGAAATCTAGAGTCTTGAAGATAAAAACTTCAGACAATGCAATATCTGAGGTTGAGGAGGCGGTGGCTACCATGTCTAAAACCATCAAAATCATGGCTGAAGGCTACTCAGGTGGGGTGATTCCACTTAACAATGTTCACAGCACAATCTTTGGTAGAGTGATTGAGTGGTGCAAGAAACATGTTGACGATGGTGAAGACTTGGAGTACTACAAGGGAGCACTCAAGAATTGGGACGCTACGTTCTTTGAAGTTGATCAAGCTGTTCTTTATCATCTTCTCACGGCTGCAAACTACCTTGATATTAAGCCTTTGCTCCATCAAGGATGTCAAAGGTTTGTTGACATGATTAATGGGAAAACCGCAGACGAAATTCGTCAACTTCTTCATATCAAGAATGATTTTACTAATGAAGAAGAAGATGAAACTCGTAAGAAGCTTTGATTTTCAGTTCTAGGCATGAATTCTTTTATGCTTTTTTAGAGCTTTTTGTTTACTGTAACTTTCTTAGTTTTTTTCTTTGGTTTTGTGTCTACTTTCCCTATTCCTTAACTATTTCCAAATAATTGAACATTGTTATGTTGGTGTTTCTTTCATTTTTTTCTTCATCTTTTTATTTTTCCTGGTAAAGCAATTGATGATTTTATTGAAACAAACAAAGGGAGGGTTCCATTATTGTTTCAAAGTGACCAAGAGCATCATGATTTAAATCAAGAAATAGGGACGAAGAGCTCAAAGCTATATAGTATAATAATGAACTATGGAATATTTTAAGAAAAGAAACGAGACAGACAGTGCTTGTTTCTTCTAGCCCGCTCCACTTTTGATGGGTTAAACAAACTTTAATGGACCTGTTTCACTTAATTCACGAGAAAAATTTTGGATTTGGGCTACTTTAAAACAAAATCCTCCCTGCTCTATGAAGTTGGGATTCCGCACAAGTGGGTTGGGCCGGTTTTAAAACCTCAATTGAGCTATTGTCTAATCGAGGAGAATTATCATCTGAGCAGAACCAACGTCTTCGTTTTTCAATCACCTTTTCAATAACTATAACAGACCTAGAAAAACAAGAGGAGAAATTCTCTCAGCCAATCCCTGTTCTGGAACATTCACTCCGTTGTATTATGTGTAAAGAATTGACAGGTCACAGGCCAAAAGGGTTCTGATAATTATAACCAAGATATCATTTTATACTGACTATTATAGGCAATGATCAGCATAACCGCAATGTTGCCAACACTTTCACTCTTGAACAAGGTTTTAACTGCATGCACAGAGTCTTCTTCACTACAATACATCATAATATGCAATCTGGTGTCACCTAAATTGACCAGTATCATGCGGCATCATCATAATGTGAAGCTTGCGTCGTAATCTGGTGCTAGAAAACATACATAGAATGACTCGACCAGGATGAACATCTAACAGAGATACTCTAGAGGACTTTTCAATAATTACAAAATTAAGGTGTATGCATCATGATTCATGCCTGGCAGAAGTGTTCATTATGCTAATTGTATCAAATTATTTGAGGATCTTTGAAAAAGTTACTGTGGTGTTGTTTCTAGGTATGCTCATCTCAAGCAAATTTTATTTTTCAGTTTGGCCTATGTAACAACGGAACAAAACTTTCCGACAAGTTAAAAACAACATTATCCACTTAATTTAAAAAGTTTTTTCGCATGTTATATTTATTTTTGGCTCTTTCACTTGGTTGTTTCCTGTAAAGGGAATTTCAGGCTGAAAGAATCTTATAGCCATGTCCAACATCCCTTTTCCTTATAGCATCAACGTAGCAGAATTGCAACATTCCTGTTATATCTTTACTCTTACACAGATCTTACTTCGTCTTGGAACAAGCATAATCATAATTTAAATTTTCCTGTCTCCAAACCAGCGACCTCGTTATATGACCTTATACATTTTATTAACTCTATCATAAATCTTAGGCAGGCTTTCCAGACAACCTTTGAGGCATCAACAATGTTGTTTGCACAAGGAGGTTGATAATCGTGTTCGTCGTCACATCCCATCGTGGATTCAGACTCATCCACTACCATGGACACCTAGCTGCGCCCTTTACCCCTTGTAGTGATATTGTGGAAGCACCTCTTGTTTTTTTTGAACCATCCTGTTGACAGTGCCACAATTTTCAGATCATCAGAGTGGAACTTCTTGTCATATTCTGATAGGCCACCGCCATCGGCCTCTTCCTCGAAGCTGTTAGAACTGCCTTGGTATGGCTAGTCAGTCACTTGTGTCGAGGACTTCTAGGTTGTGTAAAGCTCACCTTCAACACAACAGTCAGTCATTCTTCCTGTTGCTTTTGTCTTTAGAAGGATTTTTGCCCTTGATTTTGCCACTAGGCTTGCAAACTTTAGGTGCTCAATAAAATTATGCCACCTTTTTTTTTATAAATATGTAACTAATATTAGGTGCTCATCCTTATTACCGAATCAACTCTCTAACTCTGATAATTTATCTAAAAATAAATAACAAAAATTATAAAATACATTGTGAAGTTTTTCACAAATGAGATTAAAAAAGTAACATATATACCTTAAAGTATATTTTAAAAAAACAAATTAATTAAAAATAAAAATAAAATATGTGTTAATCTATTAATATAGCTTGCAAAATTAATAATTTACATTAATAATATATTAAATACTAACTCTTATCAAATCGCGTATTTCTAAAGTTGATTCAACATTTAATAGGAATAAAGAAAAGAGAAAACCCTTCTTTGAACTCCTTTGATGCTTGTTTTGGCTTTAAGCATTAAATGGAAAAATAGAAATTATAGTTACAACAAAAATATTTAACAATAATGGAGAGTTTTATAACAAGGGCATCTTTGAAGAACACTAGCGAATCTATTGAATCCACCAAGACTTTCATTGTTGATTGTTAAGTGATTATTTTTAATTTTTCCATTACTTTTATTTCCATTGAATTTCAGAATTTGTGCTGTGATTCCCATGGAAAAAATTCTTGTCGTGATTTCATTCTATGATTTTTTTTTTTTAGTTTTTGATCTTTTATTTTGATCTTTTTAGTCTAATTTGATGTTTAATTTTTGTTTTAAAGTTAATTATTCATTTTTAATGAAAGTTAAGTGAGTTATTCAAAGTTGATTAAAGGTGGATGATTATCTAATCCACACATATTTTTAGAAAAAAAAAATGAAATCACTATTTTAATGGTGCTTAAAAATATATTTTTTAGGATGATTTTAATATAAATTTGTTAAAAGATTAAAAATTATTATTCAATAATCTGAAAAAAATACTTCAAAGATTCTACTAATTAAGAAAAAAATCTTATACAATATCGTAATCTAATCTTAGATATTATTCTGTCTATAATATCATAATCCACGCATTAATTTCCAAAGAAAATAAAATTCAAACATCCAATACCTATATAATTTGGGGGCCGAATCTTATAATTTCGCAAATCCCATACAATTTAGGAGAGAAAAATCTAATTCTCTTAATAGAATTAAACAAAACTTAACTCTATATATTCTGACTTTTAGCCATCGATAGTCGACAGAGCTTTCGATTAGCATAATAATATTTAGCATCATGTTATCATCCAAGAAATCTAGAGTCTTGAAGATAAAGACTTCAGACAATGAAATATTTGAGGTTGAGGAGGCGGTGGCCACCATGTCTAAAACCATTAAAATCATGGCTGAAGACTGCTCAGGTGAGGTGATTCCACTTAACAACGTTCACAGCACAATCTTTGCTAGAGTGATTGAGTGGTGCAAGAAACATGTTGACGACGGTGAAGACTTGGAGTACTACAAGGGAGCACTCAAGAATTGGGATGCAACGTTCTTTGAAGTTGATCAAGCTGTTCTTTATCATCTCCTCACGGCTGCAAACTCTCTTGATATTAAGCCTTTGCTCCATCAAGGATGTCAAAGGTTTGTTGACATGATTAATGGGAAAACCGTAGAGGAAATTCGTCAACTTCTTCATATCAAGAATGATTTTACTAATGAAGAAGAAGATGAAACTCTTAAGAAGCTTTGGTCTTCAGTTATGGGCATGAATTCTTTTATCCTTCTTTAGAGCTTTTTGTCTATTGTAATTTTCCTAGTTTTTTTTTCTTTGGTTTTGTGTTTACTTTCCCTATTCCTTAACTATTTCCAAATAATTGAACATTGTTATGTTACCATTGATTTTCTTCTGGTTTCTTTTCCTTTTATTTTTTCTGGTAAAGAAAGTGATGATTTTATTGAAACAAACAAGGGGAGGGTTCGATTATTGTTTCAAAGAGATCAAGAGCATCATGATTTAAATCAATATACAGGAACGAAGAACTCAAAACCATATAGTATAATAATGAACTATGGAATATTTTAAGAAAAGAAACGACTCAAACAGGGCTTGTTTCTTTTAGCTCGTTCCAGTTTTGATGGGTTAAACAAACTTTTATGGACCTGGATCTCTTATTTTGGAAGGAATTTTGGGAGTTGGGCTTAAAAATAAAACAAAATCAGGGCAAGTAGGTTGGGCTGGTTGTAAAACCTAAAATAACTCTTCGAGCTATAGGGCCTCTAGTCTGTACTTTAACCTAATAGGTTGTTGTTTTCCTTTTCTTTTCGCCAATGTTGTTGTTGTTTTCCTTGGATGACAAATATTACAAGAGCTGTAGTCCATACAAATACAAGTCAATTGACCATTATAGGTTCTTTGTATTAGAATAAAGTTTCTTGTGTGTATTTTTAGGTTAATGCATAACAGTTGGTAAGTGTGAGAGTTTGTATTATCTATTTTGTATAATGTTTTATTTGAAGCAATACAACTATATTTTGGACAAAATCTCTGCAAGTATCTGAAAACTCTCTTTATATGGCCATTCTCTCTGCAACATATTTGGCAGACTATTGATAAACTTCTGTAATTAATTCTTCTTAGTCAAATTTACCAGACTTAAATACAAGAAAACACTATTTATATCAACTGAACATTCTTTATTACATGTTGTATCAGGTTTCATTTACATTGATAGAGATTTGGGCCGAGGATAACAGGGAAATTCTTTCATTCTTTGTTGATTCTCTGTCAATTCTGTTCTAGTAATAAACGTAATTTCGGAAAATCTTTTAGAAATTGATCATGATTCATGCTCGGTACAAACATTGTCCACTTACTTCTAAAATGTATTTTCGGAAGGTTGTACTTGTCTTTGGCTCTTTCACTTGGTTGTTTCCCGTAAAAGGAATTTCAGGCCGAAGGAATCTTATAACCATGTTCAACATCCCTTTTTCTTTATAACATCAACGTAGCAGAACAGCAACATTCTTGCTATCTCTTTTCATTATTGCACGGTTTTTTACTTCATCCAGGAACAACGCAATTATCTGTCTGTTGATTATTATAATCATAATTTTAAGTGCCCTGTCTCCAAAACCAGCAACCTCGGTCTTCACCAACAACAAATTGCTGTCATAATATACTGTAAAGATAAATTGAATTCCAATAATAATTACAAAACATGGTATATGACTTTATACATACCTTAGCATATAACAGTCAACAAATTCAGCAAACAGAAATGCTAATTTCATATTGAAAGACTGATATTTTGAATTACTAATGGCTAATCTCTATATATTGCCTGTCCCCACTTGTAGTTTCTCACACCAAAACATTAGAACAGAAGTGAATTTAAAAGAAAAAAAAATGAAGAAGCAAGTTTGTTCAAGTGTCTTTCTTCTCATTTGCGTCCTTTTTCTTTTCCTAAGTGCTGAAGCTCAAACCTGCAGGCCTAGTGGGAGGATAAGAGGGAAAAACCCTCCATCAGGGCAATGCAACCCAGAAAATGACTCTGATTGTTGTAAAGATGGCGAGTGGTACACAACATACAAATGTTCACCCCCTGTGTCAAGCAATACAAAAGCAACACTGACACTTAACAGCTTTGAGAAAGGCGGGGACGGTGGTGCACCATCCGAATGTGACAACCAATACCACTCGGATGATGATCCTGTGGTGGCACTTTCAACAGGGTGGTTGAACCACAGAAAGAGGTGTTTGAAGTATATCAACATCCATGGCAACGGAAAAAGTGTGAGGGCTAAGGTTGTGGATGAATGTGATTCTACAATGGGATGCGATTCTGACCATGATTACCAGCCTCCTTGTCCTCACAACATTGTTGATGCTTCAAAAGCAGTTTGGAAGGCTCTAGGAGTGCCTGAAAGCGATTGGGGCGAAATGGACATCTACTGGTCAGATTCGGATTGATTACTTTACTCATATTTATAATGTCTTTATTAGAATAAATATTTCTTGTGTGTTTTAGGTTAATGTTTATATTACTATTAATGTAAAATTCATACATCTTATGTTTTCTGTTTTTTAAGTACTACAATTATGTATTAAATCTTAATCATTTGCTCTGTTCTTACTTCTGGCAATTCTTTAACTGTTTCATTGGCTCGATATGAATTTTAATGAATTTTGTTTTTCTAATAATTTTGAGAGGAAATGGATAAATATCAACAATTTTTACTAAAATCTAAAATTAATTATATGAACAATATAATTTCTTGAACTATTGACAAGATCCAAATTAGTCAAATTAGCCATCAATATTCGACAGAGTTTTCGATTCACATAATAATATTAACATCATGTCATAATCCATGAAATCTAGAATCTTGAAGATAAAAACTTCAGACAATGAAATATCTGAGGTTGAGGAGGCGGTGGCTACCATGTCTAAAACCATCAAAATCATGGCTGAAGGCTACTCAGGTGGGGTGATTCCACTTAACAACGTTCACAGCACAATCTTTGGTAGAGTGATTGAGTGGTGCAAGAAACATGTTGACGATGGTGAAGACTTGGAGTACTACAAGGGAGCACTCAAGAATTGGGACGCTATGTTCTTTGAAGTTGATCAAGCCGTTCTTTATCATCTTCTCACGGCTGCAAACTACCTTGATATTTTAAGCCTTTGCTCCATCAAGGATGTCAAAGGTTTGTTGACATGATTAATGGGAAAACCGCAGACGAAATTCGTCAACTTCTTCATATCAAGAATGATTTTACTAATGAAGAAGAAGATGAAACTCGTAAGAAGCTTTGGTTTTCAGTTCTGGGCATGAATTCTTTTATCCTTTTTTAGAGCTTTTTGTTTACTGTAACTTTCTTAGTTTTTTTCTTTGGTTTTGTGTCTACTTCCCTATTCTTAACTATTTCCAAATAATTTGAACATTGTTATGTTGGTGTTTCTTTCATTTTTTTCTTCATCTTTTTATTTTTCCTGTAAAGCATTGATGATTTTATTGAAACAAACAAAGGGGAGGGTTCCATTATGTTTCAAAGTGACCAAGAGCACCATGATTTAAATCAGAAATAGGGACGAAGAGCTCAAGCTATATAGTAATAATATGAACTATGGAATATTTTAAGAAAAGAAACGAGACAGACAGTGCTTGTTTCTTCTAGCCCGCTCCACTTTTGATGGGTTAAACAAACTTTAATGAACCTGTTTTACTTAATTCACGAGAAAAATTTTGGATTTGGGCTATATTAAAACAAAATCCTCCCTGCTCTATGAAGTTGGGATTCCGCACAAGTGGGTTGGGCCGGTTTTAAAACCCAATTGAGCTATTGTCTAATCGAGGAGAATTATCATCTGAGCAGAACCAACGTCTTCGTTTTTCAATCACCTTTTCAATAACTATAACAGACCTAGAAAAACAAGAGGAGAAATTCTCTCAGCCAATCCCTGTTCTGGAACATTCACTCCGTTGTATTATGTGTAAAGAATTGACAGGTCACAGGCCAAAAGGTTTCTGATAATTATAACCAAGATATCATTTTATACTGACTATTATAGGCAATGATCAGCATAACCGCAATGTTGCCAACACTTTCACTCTTGAACAAGGTTTTAACTGCATGCACAGAGTCTTCTTCACTACAATACATCATAATATGCAATCTGGTGTCACCTAAATTGACCAGTATCATGCGGCATCATCATAATGTGAAGCTTGCGTCGTAATCTGGTGCTAGAAAACATACATAGAATGACTCGACCAGGATGAACATCTAACAGAGATACTCTAGAGGACTTTTCAATAATTACAAAATTAAGGTGTATGCATCATGATTCATGCCTGGCAGAAGTGTTCATTATGCTAGTTGTATCAAATTATTTGAGGATCTTTGAAAAAGTTACTGTGGTGTTGTTTCTAGGTATGCTCATCTCAAGCAAATTTTATTTTTCAGTTTGGCCTATTTAACAACGGAACAAAACTTTCCGACAAGTTAAAAACAACATTATCCACTTAATTTAAAAAGTTTTTTCGCATGTTATATTTATTTTTGGCTCTTTCACTTGGTTGTTTCCTGTAAAGGGAATTTCAGGCTGAAAGAATCTTATAGCCATGTCCAACATCCCTTTTCCTTATAGCATCAACGTAGCAGAATTGCAACATTCCTGTTATATCTTTACTCTTACATAGTTCTTACTTCGTCTTGGAACAAGCATAATCATAATTTAAATTTTCCTGTCTCCAAACCAGCGACCTCGTTATATGACCTTATACATTTTATTAACTCTATCATAAATCTTAGGCAGGCTTTCCAGACAACCTTGAGGCATCAACAATGTTGTTTGCACAAGGAGGTTGATAATCGTGTTCGTCGTCACATCCCATCGTGGATTCAGACTCATCCACTACCATGGACACCTAGCTGCGCCCTTTACCCCTTGTAGTGATATTGTGGAAGCACCTCTTGTTTTTGTTGAACCATCCTGTTGACAGTGCCACAATTTTCAGATCATCAGAGTGGAACTTCTTGTCATATTCTGATAGGCCACCGCCATCGGCCTCTTCCTCGAAGCTGTTAGAACTGCCTTCCTCGAAGTTTTTTTCTTTGGTTTTGTGTCGACTTTCCCTATTCCTTAACTATTTCCAAATAATTGAACAATGTTATGTTGGTGTTTCTTCCATTTTTTTTCTTCATCTTTTTATTTTTTCTGGTAAACCAATTGATGATTTTATTGAAACAAACAAAGGGAGGGTTCCATTATTGTTTCAAAGTGATCAAGAGCATCATGATTTAAATCAAGAAATAGGGACGAAGAGCTCAAAGCTATATAGTATAATAATGAACTATGGAATATTTTAAGAAAAGAAACGAGTCAGACAGGGCTTGTTTCTTCTAGCCCGCTCCATTTTTGATGGGTTAAACAAACTTTAATGGACCTGTTTCACTTAATTCACGAGAAAAATTTTGGATTTGGGCTATATTAAAACAAAATCCTCCCTCCCTTCTCTATGAAGTTGGGATTCCGGACCAGTGGGTTGGGCCGGTTTTAAAACCTAAATTGAGCTATTGTCTAATTGAGGAGAATTATCATCTGAGCAGAACCAACGTCTTCGTTTTTCAATCACCTTGTCAATAACTATAACAGACCTAGAAAAACAAGAGGAGAAATTCTCCCAGCTAATCCCTGTTCTGGAACATTCACTCCGTTGTATTATGTGTAAAGAATTGACAGGTCACAGGCCAAAAGGTTTCTTCTAATAATTATAACCAAGATATCATTTTATACTGACTATTATAGGCAACGATCAGCATAACCGCAATGTTGCCAACACTTTCACTCTTGAACAAGGTTTTAACTGCATGCACAGAGTCTTCTTCACTACAATACATCATAATATGCAATCTGGTGTCCCCTAAATTGACCAGTATCATGCGGCATCATCATAATGTGAAGCTTGCGTCGTAATCTGGTGCTAGAAAACGTACATAGAATGACTCGACCAGGATGAACATCTAACAGAGATACTCTAGAGGACTTTTCAATAATTACAAAATTAAGGTGTATGCATCATGATTCATGCCTGGCACAAATGTTCATTATGCTAATTGTATCAAATTATTTGAGGATCTTTGAAAAAGTTACCGTGATGTTGTTTCTAAGTCTGCTCATCTCAACCAAATTTTATTTTTCAGTTTGGCCTATATAATAACTGAATAAAATTTTCTGACCAGTTAAAAACAACATTATCCACTTAATTTAAAATGTTTTGTCGCATGTTATGCTTATTTTTGGCTCTTTCACTTGGTTCTTTCCTGTAAAGGAATTTCAGGTTGAAAGAATCTTCTAACCATGTCCAACATCCCTTTTCCTTATAGCATCAACGTAGCAGAATTGCAACATTCTTGTTATCTCTTTTACTCTTACACGGTTCTTACTTCGTCTAGGAACAAGCACAATCATAATTTAAATTTCCCTGTCTCCAAACCAACCACATCGTTATATGACCTTGCACATTTTATTAACTCTATCATAAGTCTTAGGCAGGCTTTCCAGACAGCCTTTGAGGCATCAACAATGTTGTTAGCACAAGGAGGTTGATAATCATGTTCGTCGTCACATCCCATCGTGGATTCACACTCATCCACCACCATGGACACCACGCTGCGCTCATTACCCCTTGTAGTGATGTTGTGGAAGCACCTCTTGTTTTTGTTGAACCACCCTGTTGACAGCGCGACAATTTTCAGATCATCTGAGTGGAACTTCTTGTCATATTCTGATAGGCCATCGGCTTCTTTCTCGCAGCTGTTAGAACTGCCTTAGTATGGCTAGTCAGTCACTTGTGTCAAGGATTTGTAGGTTGTGTAAAGCTCACCTTCGACACAACTGTCAGTCATTCTTCCTGTTGCTTTGTCTTTAGAAGGATTTTTGCCCTTGATTTTGCCACTAGGCTTGCAAACTTTAGGTGCTCAATAAAATTATGCCACCTCCTTTTTTTATAAATATGTAACTAATATTAGGTGCTCATCCTTATTACCAAATCAACTCTCTAACTCTGATTAATTTATCTAAAAATAAATAATAAAAATTATAAAATACATTGTGAAGTTTTTCACAAATGAGATTAAAAAAGTAACATATATACCTTAAAGTATATTTAAAAAAAACAAATTAATTAAAAATAAAAATAAAATATGTGTTAATCTATTAATATAGCTTGCAAAATTTATAATTTACATTAATAATATATTAAATACTAACTCTTATCAAATCGCGTATTTCTAAAGTTGATTCAACATTTAATAGGAATAAAGAAAAGAGAAAACCCATCTTTGAACTCCTTTTATGCTTGTTTTGGCTTTAGGCATTAAATGGAGAAGTAGAAATTATAGTTACAACAAAAATATTTAATAATAATGGAGAGTTTTATAACAAGGGCATCGAGTCAAACCTTGGGAGAACACTGGCGAATCTATTGAATCCAATAAGACTTTCATCTTTGATTGTTAGGTGATTATTTTTAATTTTTGCATTACTTTTCTTTCCATTGAATTTCAGAATTTGTGCTGTGATTCCCATGGAAAAAAAAATTCTTGTCGTGATTTCATTATGTAATTTTTCTCTTTTAGTTTTGGATCTTTTATTTTGATCTTTTTAGTCTAATTTGATGTTTAATTTTTGTTTTAAAGTTAATTATTCATTTTTATTGAAAGTTAACGCTATGTTTAGATAAATATTAATAAAAAAATAAAAATAAAAAAAAGTTTTTTAAAAGAAAAAAAAAAGATACATGTAATTCTTGTTTGGATAATTAAAATTAATAAAAGAAAGAAAAAGAAAAGAATTTTAACAATCATTATTTAGATAAAGAGTGAAAAAAAAAAGGAAATGATTAATTATAATAATTTTTTTCAATTATAACCTTTTATTACATGTGATTTTAAAGTACTCTTAGACCATGATATGTTTGCTATCTTGTCTGATCTCATAATTACTACTATATCAATTGTTTTTAATCAAGTAAAATGAAAAGATATTTTACAAATATGCATTAATGAATTTTGAGTTAATCTGACCTCTCATAAACCCAAAAAATATATCTATTTACATTCAAACATTCATCAAAATCAAATCACCAAAAAATTATAAAAAATTTTTATATTAGAATATATATATATATGAAATTTACTTGAAAAAAGAGATGACTTTGAAAAAATTATAGGAGGATTGTGATCTGCTTAAGTTTTTTTATTAGATTTTTAGTATTAATAAAAAAAATAGACATAATAATCTTTTTATAAAAAAAAAAAAATTTAACTTTTCTTTCCATAGCTTTTTTTTTTTAAATTGGGGTATTAAAAAAATTAAATCACAAGAGAAACCAAATGTTATTTGGTTTCAATCTCTTTTTCTTTTTTTAAATTAAGTATTTAATCAAATAAAGGAAATGAAGTTTTGTTTCCTTTACTTTATTTTACTTTACTTTCATTTCCTTCTTCTCCCCTCAATTCAAACACATTGTAAGTAAGTTATTGAAAGTTGATTAAAGGAAGATGATTATCTAATCCGCACATTTCTTTTTAAATATGAAATTACTATTTTAATGGTGCTTAAAAATATATTTTTTAGGATGATTTTAATATAAATTTGTTAGAAGATTAAAAATTTTTATTCAATAATTTGAAAAAAATACTACAAAGATTCTACTAATTGAGAAAAAAATCTTATACAATATCGTAATCTAATCTTAGATATTATTCTATCTATAATATCATAATTCACGCATTAATTTTCAAAGAAAATAAAATTCGAACATCCAACCCCTATATAATCTGGGGGTCGGGTCTTATAAATTCGTAAATCTCACACTGTTTAGGAGAGAAAAACCTAGTTCCCCTGATAAAATTAGACAAAACCTAACTGGCTTTTAGCCATCGATAATCGGCAGAGCTTGTTGCGCCTGAAGCAATAATCACAATAATACAGAAACAATAATCACAACAATACAGAAGCAATAATCACAACAATACAGAAGCAATAGACAACAATCAATAATCAAATGCGCAGGAAAAATAAAGCACACCAAGATTTACGTGAAAAACCCTCCAGTGTAGAGGGAAAAACCACGGGCCACCAGAAAAATCTTCACTATCAAATAATAGTTATACAAAGTTCTTCTCTAGCTAAAACTAGAGCTAATCAACAACTAGAGAAAAAATTGGAGAAATCTCACCAAATAAGTGACTCAACAAATACACCATGGATTTGTTCCTAGAGAGCTTCAAACCCGATCTTCACCGTTCAGAATGTATAACTTTGAATCATAAACCTCCTGACAAGGTTCCAACTCAATCGGACCACGGATCGACTTCCTTTTAACCAACTCTCTGTTCTTCTTTTTCTCTCTCTGCTTTTCTTGGCTTTTCTTCTTTCTCTACTTGGTTGTCGACACACACATAAAACAACCCTACCTCTTTTTTATTAAGTAGCTAGGGCTCTGTGTAAAATAAAAGATCAAGGCTCATGGCCTTTACTTGGTCCAAAACCACTTATATGGGACTGGACCCCATTTTCCTAACAATCTCCCCCTCTAGCCCCATTAGGAGGAGATTCATCACCATAGTAGTTTCATTTGGAACTTACCTTGGCCAGGGAACTCATTCCGGCCAAGTTACTACAAAGCTCAAGCTTTTCCCTGGGAAGTATCTTAGTCAACATATCTGTCACATTTTTATCAGTATGGACTTTCTTCAATAGCATCTGCTATTTTTCAATCACTGAACGTAACCAATGATATCTAACATCAATGTGCTTTGTTCTAGCATGGTACATGGTATTCTTACTCAAATCTAAAGCACTCTGGCTATCATAAAATATTATATACTCTTTCTGATTCAACCCCAATTCAAGAAAAAAACGTTTCATCCAAAGCATTTCTTTACATGCTTCAGTTGCTGCAATATACTCAGCCTCTGTAGTTGACAAAGCAACACACTTTTGTAACTTAGACTGCCAAGATACAACTCCTCCTGCAAAAGTGAACAAATACCCTGAAGTAGATTTCCTACCATCAAGATCGCCTGCCATGTCAGCATCAGTAAATCCTTTTAGAATTGGTTATGAAACTTTATAAGTCAAACACATTTTTGAGGTACCCTTCAAATATCTAAAAATCCATTTTACTACTTCCCAGTGAACTTTTCCTGGATTAGAAAGAAATCTGTTCACTACACTAACTGCATGAGCAATGTCAAGCCTTGTACAAACCATAAGATACATTAAAGAACCGACTGCAGAAGAATAAGGAATACTAGACATAGCTAGTTGCTCTTCCTTAGACACTGGACAAGATTTCTTACTTAGATGAAAATGGTTGGCAAGTGAACTGCTAACTGATTTAGCATGTTGCATGTTGAATCTACCAAGAACTCGTTCAACATACTTTTCCTGTGACAATCACAGCTTTCCAACTTTCCTATCTCGGATAATGTCCATACCAAGAATCTATTTTGCTGGACCTAAATCCTTCATATCAAAAGACTTAGACAATTGTTCTTTCAACCTGCAAATCATACTAGCATCTTGTCCTACAATCAACATATCATCAACATATAATAATAGGATAATGAAGTTACCATTAGGGAATTGTTTAACATACACACAAGAATCTGCTGCTATTTTTTTATAGCTATGACTCACCATAAAAGAATCAAACTTTTTGTACCACTATCGCGGAGCTTGTTTCAAGCCATACAAGCTTTTCTTCAATTTGTAAACTAAGTACTCTTTCCCTTTCACTTCAAAACCCTCAGGCTGATTCATATAAATGTCCTCCTGCAAATCACCATGCAAAAATACAGTTTTAACATCAAGTTACTCAAGCTCAAGATTCAAACTAGCTGCCAATCCCAGTACCACTCGAATAGAACTCATTTTTACAACTGGAGCAAAAATCTCATCAAAATCGATGCCTGGTTTCTGAGAAGAACCTTTTACTACCAATCGAGCTTTGTACTTCACTAGTTTGTCACCATCTTTTTTCAACTTGAACACCCATTTATTCTTTAATGGCCTCTTCTCTGTTGGAAGTTTAACAAGATCATAAGTATCATTCTTTCACAATGACTCCATCTCTTCTTTCATTACTTTTAACCAGTGCTCTCTATCCGGAGTAACCTGCACATTTTGAAAGCTTTTTGGCTCCCCTTTACTGGTAACTAAAATAAAATCTAAACTTGAATACCTGGTAGATGACCTGCGCTCTTTAGTAGATCTCCTAGGCTAAGACTCTACATCACTTGATGCTGAAGGTAGCTCCTCCTGCTCAACACTTTCAGGTAGAGAGGATTGCTTCCCCTGCTCAAAACTAATAGCATCTGGCTCATCACCAACTGTGGTTGGCTCATTCATATCTCCAAGTTCTGTTTCTGACTCATTTTTACCATCTGTGGCTCTTTCTTGTGAAATCTCTATCGGTGTTGAAACATCACACTCAACAGTAACTCGTGTAGTCTTCTCATTTTTCTCAAGGTCTGCTATGGTTTCTTTTTCATGAAAGACCATATTTTTGCTTCTGACTGTCTTTCTCTTTACTGAATCCCATATCCTGTAACCAAATTCCTCATCACCATATCCTACAAACACACATTGTGTGGCTGTACTGTCAAGCTTTGATCTCTGCTCTTTCGGTACATGCATGAATGCTTTACACCCAAAAATTTTCAAGTGAGAGTATGAAGCATCTTTCCTTATCTACACTCTTTCTGGAATGTCAAAGCCCAAAGGAACTGATGGTGACCTGTTAAGTAAATAACAAGCTGTGTTGACTGCTTCACCCCAGAATGGCTTTGGTAATTTTACCATCCTCAACATATATCTGACTTTTTTCACAATGGTACGATTCATTCTTTCAGCTATACCATTATGCTACGGTGTTTCAGGTTCTATCCTCTCATGCCTGATCCCATGCTTTGAGCAATACTCTTCAAAGCCTTTAGATGTGTATTCTTCACCATTATCAGTTCAAATACACTTCAAGGGTAACCCTGTCATCTTTCAACCATGGCATGAAATTTTTGAAAATACTGCAGTACCTGACTTTTATATTTCAACATATACACCCAAGTCTTACGTGAAGCATCATCAATAAAAGTAACAAAATATCTGCTACCACCTAATGACTCAACCTCAATGGGACCACATACGTCAGAATAAATTAATTCTAATCTATTTTTTTTCTCTGAGAACTTTTACGAAAAGAAACTCTATGATACTTACCAAACAAACAATAATCACATGAATCGAGAGCATACCTTTGATCAAGGGAATGAGAGACTGCCTTGCCAAAATCTGTAACCCTTTTTCACTCATGTGTGCCAACCTCCTGTGCCACAAGTTTGCTGAAGCATCATTTTCAACGGTATTTACCTGGTTACCGTTCAATTGCATCCATGTCTTATACATTGTGCAGCATAATTTTCCCCTTGTAACTATCATAGATCCTTTGAGAAGCTTCCACTGTCCATTCTTTTGTCGACTTTCATATCCCTCCTTATCAAGGACATTAATAGCAAGCAAGTTTATTCTCATATCTGGAATGTGTTTGATATCCCTCAAAGTTAACATGCAGCCTGTACTAGTTTGTACAACAATATCACCAATCTCAACAATCTGTGACACACTTTTGTTTCCCATCTTGGTACAATCAAAGTCTCCTGCTTTATAAGTTGTAAATAACTCTCTCTTAGGAACACAATGATATGCCGCTCCTGTGTCAACTATCCACTCAATGTCGGGATCACTAACATGATTACAATCACCATGCGTACAAATCAAAGTAACTGAATCACTATCTGAATTCACTGCTGTAACATTGCCATCATCTGAACTCTTACATTTCTCATCTTTTCGCTCTTGCTTCAAGATTTTACAGTTTCATTTTATATGACCCGCCTTACCACAATGGAAACACTTCACTTTACCTCTAGACTTGGATTTATGTTTAGACTTACCACGGCCTTTTGAGTCTTGACCTATCGATGTTTCTACCTCTATTCTCTGTGACCAGAGCTTGATTCTCAAGGTCTACATCTTTTCACCTCGCTTCTTCATTAAGCATACTGTCCTTTACCATCTCCAATGTCACCTTATAATCAGGAGCTAAATTAAGAACAATCACAACTAGAGTATTCCAACTGTCTGGCAATGAACCCAAAAAAAATAATACCTTCATTTCATCATCCATCTTAAGTTCCATAGTAGTCATCCGATTAAATATATCTTGAAAATCACTCAAGTGCTCTGTAACAGATCGTCCATCCCTGTACTGTAAAGTTACAATCTTTTTAACAAGCATAACTTTATTCATACATGTTTTTCTCCCATACAATGCTGCCAATTTTTCTCAAATAATGTGAGCATCTGATTCCTGCGCTACATGATGGAACACACTGATATCAACCCATTTTCTGATTGTAGCCAGCGTCTTTCTACCTAGCTTCTTCCAGCTTTTATCTTTCATATCTGCTGGTTTAACCGAATCACTCAATACTGGCTCATACAAATCTTTGCAGTATAGATGATCTTCCATCATAGGCTTCCAAATTGAATAATTTCATGCTGTCAATTTTATCATGGAACCTGTATCACCCTCCATGATCTCAAACAGAATTTACTTCTATCCTGGGTTGTTTCTGTATCGATGTCTCAAAATAACTCTCGCTATGATACCACTTGTTGCGACTGAAGCAATAATCACAATAATACAGAAGCAATAGACAACAATCAATAATCAAATGCGCAGGAAAAATAAAGCACACCAAGATTTACGTGAAAAACCCTCCAGTGTAGAGGGAAAAACCACGGGCCACCAGAAAAATCTTCACTATCAAATAATAGTTATACAAAGTTCTTCTCTAGCTAAAACTAGAGCTAATCAACAACTAGAGAAAAAATTAGAGAAATCTCACCAAATAAGTGACTCAACAAATACACCCTGGATTTGTTCCTAGAGAGCTTCAAACCCGATCTTCACCGTTCAGAATGTATAACTCTGAATCATAAACCTCCTGACAAGGTTCCAACTCAATCGGATCACGGATCGACTTCCGTTTAACCAACTCTCCCTTCTCTTTTTTCTCTCTCTGCTTTTCCTGGCTTTTCTTCTTTCTCTGCTTGGTTGTCGACACACACATAAAACAACCCCACCTCTTTTTTATTAAGTAGCTAGGGCTCTGTGTAAAATAAAAGATCAAGGCCCATGGCCTTTACTTGGTCCAAAACCATTTATATGGGATTGGACCCCATTTTCCTAACAGAGCTTTCGATTAGCATAATAATATTTAGCACCATAGCATCATCCAAGAAATCTAGAGTCTCGAAGATAAAGACTGCAGACAATGAAATATTTGAGGTTGAGGAGGCGGTGGCCACCATGTCTAACACCATCAAAATCATGGCTGGAGACTGCTCAGGTGGGGTGATTCCACTTAACAACGTTCACAGCACAATCTTTGCTAGAGTGATTGAGTGGTGCAAGAAACATGTTGACGATGGTGAAGACTTGGAGTACTACAAGGGAGCACTCAAGAATTGCGATGCTACGTTCTTTGAAGTTGATCAAGCTGTTCTTTATCATCTTCTCACGACTGCAAACTCTCTTGATATTAAGCCTTTGCTCCATCAAGGATGTCAAAGGTTTGTTGACATGATTAATGGGAAAACCGTAGAGGAAATTCGTCAACTTCTTCATATCAAGAATGATTTTACTAATGAAGAAGAAGATGAAACTCGTAAGAAGCTTTGGTCTTCAGTTGTGGGCATGAATTCTTTTATCCTTCTTTAGAGCTTTTTGTCTATTGTAATTTTCCTAGCTTTTTTTTTCTTTGGTTTTTTGTTTACTTTCCCAATTCCTTAACTATTTCCAAATAATTGAACATTGTTATGTTACCATTGATTTTCTTCTGGTTTCTTTTCCTTCTATTTTTTCTGGTAAAGAAAGTGATGATTTTATTGAAACAAACAAGGGGTGGGTTCGATTGTTGTTTCAAAGAGATCAAGAGCATCATGATTTAAATCAATATACAGGAACGAAGAACTCAAAACCATATAGTATAACAATGAACTATGGAATATTTTAAGAAAAGAAACGACTCAAGCAGGGCTTGTTTCTTTTAGCTCGTTCCAGTTTTGATGGGTTAAACAAACTTTTATGGACCTGGATCTCTTATTTTGGAAGGAAATTTTGGGAGTTGGGCTTAAAATAAAACAAAATCAGGTCTAGTAGGTTGGGCTGGTTGTAAAACCTAAAATAACTCTTCGAGCTATAGGGCCTCTAGTCTGTACTTTAACCTAATAGGTTGTTGTTTTCCTTTTCTTTTCGTCAATGTTGTTGTTGTTTTCCTTGGATGACAAATATTACAAGAGCTGTAGTCCATACAAATACGAGTCAATTGACCATTATAGGTTCTTTGTATTAGAATAAAGTTTCTTGTGTGTATTTTAGGTTAATGCATAACAGTTGGTAAGTGTGAGAGTTTGTATTATATATTTTGTATAATGTTTTATTTGAAGCAATACAACTATATTTTGGACAAAAATCATCTGCAGTAATCTGAAACTCCTTTATAATGGCCATTCTCTCTGCAACATATTTGGCAGACTACTTGATAAACTTCTGTATTAATTCTTCTTAGTCAAATTTACCAGACTTAAATACAAAGAAAACAACTATTATCATCACCTGAACATTCTTATTACATGTTGTATCAGGTTTCATTTACATTGATAGAGATTTAGGCCGAGGATAACAGGGAAATTCTTTCATTCTTTGTTGATTCTCTGTCAATTCTGTTCTAGTAATAAACGTAAGTCCACCAGGAAAAATAAAAAACTGATTTCAGAAAATCTTTTAGAAATTGATCATGATTCATGCTCGGCAAAAACATTGTCCACTTACTTTTAAAATGTATTTTCGGAAGGTTGTACTTATCTTTGGCTCTTCACTTGGTTGTTTCCCGTAAAAGGAATTTCGGGCCGAAGGAATCTTATAACCATGTTCAACATCCCTTTTTCTTTATAACATCAACGTAGCAGAACTGCAACATTCTTGCTGTCTCTTTCACTCTTGCACGGTTTTTTACTTCATCCAGGAACAACGCAATTATCTGTTCGTTGATTATTATAATCATAATTTTAAGTGCCCTGTCTGCAAAACCAGCAACCTCGGTCTTCATCAAAAACAAATTGCTGTCATAATATACTGTAAAGATAAATTGAATTCCAATAATAATTACAAACCATGGTACATGACTTTATACATACCTTAGCATGTAGCAGTCAATATTTTCAGCAAACAGAAATGTTAATTTCATATTGAAAGACTGATATTTTGAATTACTCATGGCTAATCTCTATATATTTACTGTCCACACTTGTAGTTTCTCACACCAAAACATTAGAACAGAAGTGAATTTAAAAGAAAAAAAAATGAAGAAGCAAGTTTGTTCGAGTGTCTTTCTTCTCATTCTTCTCATTTGCGTTCTTTTTCTTTTCCTAAGTGCTGAAGCTCAAGCCTGCAGGCCTAGTGGGAGGATAAGAGGGAAAAACCCTCCACCAGGGCAGTGCAACCCAGAAAATGACTCTGATTGTTGTAAAGATGGCAAGTGGTACACAACATACAAATGTTCACCGCCTGTGTCAAGCAATACAAAAGCAACACTGACACTTAACAGCTTTGAGAAAGGCGGGGACGGTGGTGCACCATCCGAATGTGACAACCAATACCACTCGGATGATGACCCTGTGGTGGCACTTTCAACAGGGTGGTTCAACCACAAAAAGAGGTGTTTGAAGCATATCAACATCCATGGCAACGGAAAAATTGTGAGGGCTAAGGTTGTGGATGAATGTGATTCTACAATGGGATGCGATTCTGACCATGATTACCAGCCTCCTTGTCCTAACAACATTGTTGATGCTTCAAAAGCAGTTTGGAAGGCTCTAGGAGTGCCTGAAAGCGATTGGGGCGAAATGGACATCTACTGGTCTGATACGGATTGATTACTTTACCCATATTTATAAAGACTTTATTAGAATAAATATTTCTTGGTTGTGTTTTTGGTTAATGTTTATATTGCTATTAATGTAAAATTCATACATCTTATGTTTTCTGTATTTTAAGTACAACAATTATCATTTGCTTTGTTTTTACTTCTGGCAATTCTTTAATTTTTTCATTGGCTCGATATGAATTTTGATGGTTTCATTTTGTTTTTCTAATAATTTTGAGAGGAAATGGATAAATATCAACAATTTTTACTAAAATCTAAAATTAAATATATGAACAATATAATTTCTTGAAGTATTGACAAGATCCAAATTAGTCAAATTAGTCTTTGATAAGATACAATTACAATTAGTCGATATATGTCTTAGACAAGATCCAGATTATTTAATAATTATCTAGCTTTTAACAATCTATATAAAACTTGGCTGGTGTAAGAGTCAAGACTCGAGAACCTTGAATCCACTCTGCTGCCAAATTTAATTAATTATAAGAAAAAGTCATACATATTCATTTTACAAATTTGCAGAAAATTTTTTATTTTTCACTAAATTTTTAAAATAAAACTTGAAAATATATAAATATATTATGATAATAGCACTTTAATAATACGAATAATAATTAATTTTGTGCAAGCCCATAAGTAAAGTATTTTATGCCCTGCAAGCTTTTTCTTAATTACCGGGAAACTTCACACCAACCCTATCTCCTTCAATCGATCCGTGAGGTCTTACAAAAGTTTTTGACTTGACCCTACGACAACTGAAACATTCATGACTTCAAATGAATATGTGGAAGAACGGGATCCAGTTTGTGAATTGTGGCTAAGTCAAATGCCCCCAATGACACGTTAGAAGAAAATGAACCCCAACCCCCCTCCCCGTCCCACTTTCTCCAAGTTAGTCAGGCATGTTCACAGTTTATATATAGGTTTTCCGCGGTTACAAGTTTTCATAGAAGAACATCGCAAAAGAAGTTCAGAAGAAAAAATATAGTGGGAAAAAGAATGAAGAAGCAGGTGTTATCAAGCGTTATTCAGTTTATTTTCCTTTATTTCCTTTTTCTTTTCATTTGTGTAGGTATTGAAGCTCAGACTTGCGATTCTAATGGCAGTATAGAAGGGACAACGCCTCCACCAGGTCAATGTAACCAAGAAAATAACGCTGAGTGTTGTGTAGAAGGCGAAATTTACACAACCTACGCATGTTCACCACCGGTCTCAGCCAATACACCGGCTACACTGACTATTAACAGCTTCCAGCAGGGTGGGGATGGCGGCGGCCCGTCAAAATGTGACAATCAGTTTCACTCGGACAATGAACCTGTGGTGGCACTCTCAACAGGTTGGTTCGGCCAGAGAAGTCGTTGCAATAAGTTTATTAATATCAATTGGAATGGTATCAGTGTGAGGGCTTTGGTTGTCGATGAATGTGACTCTCAGTTGGGGTGTGATGCTGAGCATGCTTACCAGCCTCCATGCCGCAATAATATTGTTGATGCCTCAAAAGCAATTTGGACAGCTTTGGGAGTGCCTGAAAGCGAGCAGGGTGAACTAGACATTACCTGGTCTGATGCTATTTGATCATTTTCACCCTATGTAAAATATCTTCTGTATTAGAATAAAGGTTTCTTCGGTGTATCAGATTATGGTTTAAGTGTAACCATGCTATATATGTGATTCATACATAAAGAGTTGACCACTAACTATTTGCTTTGTTGATGATGGTTATATAAATCAGTTTGCTATACTTGGCATCTCATTGCATCAAAATCACCATTATTATTGATTATCGAGTCTTGTCAGTTAGTTGTTCATGGAAAATGTTCTAAATTTGGTATCAGGACGGTAAAATTGTTTGATACATATAGCAAAAAAGCAGATGCCTTCATCGATGAATATGCAACCAGATCAAAGCCCAATATTGCATGTTTTTCTCACATTAGACATTAACACCTGCAAGAATCTTATGACCAAATTATTTATTTATTTTTGTGAGTTGTTACGGCAATGGTCCCCACTGTCAGATTCTAGAATCTCTGTCTTATTATGCTCATCACATTCCAGTCCTGAAGCAGAAACAAGATACCTTCTTGCTTGTATAGTTCAATTTATACTGTTTCAAATTGTTGATTTCAATGTCAAAGTCATCCTCTTTAGCTATATATTCTGGCAGCTCTGCATTATTTCCAATTGAAGTACAGATATTTAAATTTTACTGGCAGACAGATATTGGAACATGATGGTTTTTAACCCTGTTATGGTTCCAGTTGTTCTTTTTAACCTTTTGTAACTGATGGTACAGTTCAAACGATAATTTTAATGCAATGGTGAAATTCTTGGAAAAACAGACTGTAAACTTGTCTTAATCTTAAAAAGTATCCATTGCTTATTTCTATATAAACCCCACCTCTTCATGTTTCCCGCACCAAGCATAACTAAGAGTAAAAAATGTATAGAGAAAATGAACAGGAAGGTTTGTCCTACTTTCTTCTCATCTACTTTCTCTTGATTGTTACAGACTGTTTTATTGTTGAAGCAGAGGCAAAGACATGCAAGCCAAGTGGCAAGATAAGAGGGAAACAGCCTCCTCAAGAATGTAATACAGACAATGGCTCCGACTGCTGCAAAGAAGGCGAGCTTTATGACATTTACAAGTGTTCACCAGAAGTTTCAAACCATACCAAGGCAACCCTGACTCTCAACGGCTTCGATAGCAGTCAGGATGGCGGTGGACCATCTGAATGTGACAACGAGTACGATCGGATAAAGAACTTGTGGTGGCACTTTCAACCGGATGGTTCAACAAGAAAAAAAAGGTGACTCCACAATGGGCTGCGATGTTGAACATAGTTACCAACCTCCATGCGATAACAACATCGTTGATGCATGTGATGCTGTCTGGGAGGCCTTGGGAGTGCCTGAAAATCAACGGGGTTGGATGAACATTTACTAGTCTGAAGCACGATCGGTTTTCAACATATTTACTTACGCTTAAATTAAGCATACAGAACAAAGAAATACTACTATATTTACTAGGCTTATGCTTGTTATTAGTATACTGTGGTGCTAATATGCGGCTTTCTAACAGTATATCCGTATCCGCCTTCTTTTTTTTAAAATTTTGGTTTAAATCTGCTTTGTTTCAAGTTGTAATTGCATTTAACTTCTCAATGCATATTTTCCTGGTTTGGAAGTTATATCCTTGAACCCCATTTCGTAATTTCCTCCATAAAATGGATTTCTGCTACAGCTGTCTTGTGTTTACCCAAATTTTGGGTCAAAATTCAAATTCCGTGAGAGACGACTTTCTTTCAAGTGCTTGAATATTCGAAGATGAGATTCTGGCAATTTGAGTAGGTTCACCCGAATTCCACTGGCACTATATCCCTACGCTCACGACATTCAAAGCGTTGAATTTAAAAGTGTAAATACATTTCATAAAAAAAAGCTTGACTACAAATGAGCCTTTAAATTATAATAAATTGAAACCTTTATTTTTTTTTTATTACAATCGCCTTTTAATATATTTTTTAATTCAATTAAAATTTTTTAATTGACAAAAATTGATTATATGACCCACGTCATTATTGTTAATAGACCAAAGCTAAAAATTTCCCGGCCTTCCATCCATGTATTCGAGGGAATTTGGGTTTTTCTGGCTTTTTTTTTTTTTTAAGCATTATTCTATTTTTGTTATTTTCAACTAATAAAGCGTTGTCATGTGGCCACGAAGAGAGGGAAAATTCTTACCCACCAGATGACTTGCCACGTTAAAATATTTTTTTAATAAGTCATCTAACACGTGATACTTACATTACACGTCATCAATTTGTTAAGGATGTTTGTCACACGTGAGTTATAATCAAGTTTTGTCAATTAGAGGATTTAATTGGAATTAAATGTTGGAATGCTTAACTGATGACAATAAAAGATAATAATTTTGATAATTTTTTAATTATAGTTCAAAAAAAATTTTTATTCAAGGACAAAACTAAGGCAGTTGAGATAAAAACAAATGTAAGGTTAAACAAATGACACAACCGACACCTGTTGAACTTTTGGGTTTTGTTCTATTATGTCAGTTCTCCTTCACAATGACACGTTTATTTCATGGTATAGGCTGTGCTCTAACGGATCAGATATATAATTTTAAACATTGAATTTAGAACGTGACTATTTAAACTGGGAAATTCATCTTCATCTGTATGAAGTTTGATTTGATATTTACTTGATCTCCGGCTGACCCTGAATAATGCATTTCTAATGAAACGCTGGAATTCTTTGAAAAACAGACCTGTGAAATCGTCGAGATCTTGATTTGCATTGTTGGGACTTTGGAGGCATGCACCGATGCACGCTCTCATTTCTAAATAAATCCCGCCATCTATTCAGGTTTCCTCACAAAACTAATAGAAAGAAGTATCAGAAGATGAACAAGCTGGTTAATCATAATGTCTTCCTTCTCGCCTGCTTTCTTCTTTTTTTCACAAATTGTTTTGTTGTTGAAGTTGAGACTTGCAGATGCAGACCCGGCGGTCAAATAGAATGAAAAAAACCTCCTCTAGGGGAATGTAACACGGAAGACAGCTCCGCTTGCTAAGTCGAAGGCAAGCTTTACGACATATACTTTGGTTCACCAAAAGTGTCAAACCGTACGAAGGCAAACCAGACTCTCGAGAGCTTTGATCGCGGCGGAGATGGCTACCCACCATCTAAATGTGACAACAAATACCACTCGGATGCTGAACTTGCGGTGGCTCTTTCAACAGGATGGCTTTACAAAGGAAAAAGATGTTTTCATCATATTAACATCCGTGGCAATGGAAGGAGGGTCCGGGCAAAGGTTGTTAATGAGTGTGACTCCAGAATGGGCTGTGATGTTGAGAACAATTTCGCTCTCCCTTGTGATAACAACATTAGTCGAGCCACAGATGCTGTCTGGCAAGCCTTGGGAGTGCCCCGAAATCAATGGGGTGTAATGGAGATACATTGGTCTGATGCATAACGTAATTGGTTTTCAACCTCTAATGTTTTTAATACATTCTATATCTAAAAATTAATCTTCCAATGATTCAACCGAGCTTGTCGTTATAGCAAGTTTAATTAAATGAGTGGCTTTAAGTACACTTCCTTTGAAATTATGCATTGATCATTGAGAATCTGGCTTTGATGGGTTTTTGATATTGAAATTTATCAGATTCACTTGAATTCCATATCATGAAGGACATTTATTTATGTTGAATTAAACAAGGACTTTTAATGATAGAAACAAAACCAAAGGTTAATCTTCTGATAATACCCCCGACGCTCGTTGAACCTTTGGATTTTATTCTGTTATGATTCAAGTTGTTCATAGGCAGTGCCGACAGGAATTTTTTTGAATTGGATGATTACAAACTTGTAACAATTTGATTCTAGGAATTTAGATTAGGCCAGAAAATTTATCCCTACATTTTTCTCTCTGTTTCTTTTTTGGACAAGGAATTCATCTCTACTAATCGAGTACAATGCCAATTTCAACTTCTTTGATCAATATCAACCTATCACAAACAGAGGAAACAAGAAAAGGAAATTAAGAAAAGAAGAAACAAGTTTCTCCAAGAGTTTTTCTTCCCATTGTAATGAGAGAAATGTGCACAGAATGATTCCAAGAGTACAAAACAAGATTCATATAAGCAGTTTGATTTTATTTTCTATTTGCCGGCAGGCTCTGCAAATCTGACTCAAAAGCTTTGATCAAGGTGGAAATGGCTGTGGGCCATCTGAATGTGACAATAGATACCACTCAGACGATGAACTTCTAGTGGCGCTTTCAAAAGGATGGTTCAACGAGAGAAAAAGATGCAATAGATGCATTAACATCCGTGGCAATGGAAAGAATGTTATGGCAAAGGTTATTGATCAATGCGACTCCAGAATGGGTTGTGATTCTGGTCACGAATACAAGCCCCCTTACGGCAACGACATTGTTCTTGCCTCAAAAGGTGTCTGGTGTGCCTTGGGAGTGCCCCGAAGTCAATGGAGCAGTCTGGATATACATTGGTCTGATGCATAACATAATTCACTTTCACCGTATTTATCTGTAATGTTTAACACAAGGAACATATCTATAAATATTTCTTTTGCTATTTGGATGTCATTTCATTACATTGACAGTCTCTTAAAGAGAAGGCAAGATCTAAATTCATTTTAAAAAGGAATAAAATAGACCTGTCGGTACTGTAAAGAAATGGCATCAAGATGAAAATGTACCAACTCGTCAATTAAGCTGTTCCCTTTTGTCATTGATGATACAGAAACTTCAAGCCTGGGGAAGAGAATTTGGTCAAAGCACCTGTCATCAAGAACTAATTCAGCCATCAATACTGCGAAGAGAACATTGCAAAATCCATAAACAGGCTATCATGATAATATGGGGACAATTTCTTGCAGTTAATTCAAACCCATCACATATCTTATTCTTGCATGCGTTTGGTCACAAAACTTGGAATTTATAAGGCTAATATTGAATGCATAAAGTTCTATCTGCATTCACCAAAATACAACTGGCAACAGACAAAAACCAAGACTTGACAGCCACAGCAACCAGAACCTAAAACCGACAAGTGGCCAAAATCCCCCATAACCTATTTACAACATACTATCTGTCCTTGCAGGCAATCGACGGAAGAAATTAATTGGTGCTGCAGGTGTCTTGTGGCGAAACCTGGGATGCCTCATAAGGTAGAACCCAGCGAGAAGAGCAAGCACCTGGAAAGGTGTCACATACAATACAATGGCTGCTGCAAGACAGAATATCACAAATATAGTTGTGGCACGAGGATCGCGCCAGCTTAAGAGCGACTGAAGCCGCTCGCCTTGAGTAGCTATGTCACCCACAACGGTCTGAATTCTCCCTGCCACACTCCTTAAACGATCATACCTCATCCGAATTATATCTGCGCTCCTTGATGCAGGAAAAGACTCAAATTCTTCATCTAGTTCATCAGGAGAAACTGCATCTGCACAAGAGAGACTTGTGTTCATATGAGGAGGGTACCTTGCCCGATAACGATAATTCCATACCCCTATTAGAAACATGTAAAGGAAAACTGTAGGTAAAATCAGCTCTGGGAAACAAACAAGCATTACAAATAGGACATGCACCAGCACTGTTGTAATAGGGTTCTTCCACATGCAAACTTCACCAAACCATTTTCCAACAGCAAATAATCCAGAGAAAACTGATGTCAGTCGCAAAAAGTTTGCCTTGCTGCGCCTCATGCTCCATAGATGAGCATTTGCATCAGACATATATTCAACTACTTCTCTCCTGAGAGGAGGTTCAGCCCGACCAAGCCTAGCTGCCACAATATTCACAGCCTGGTGTCGCAGCATGTCCTGCTGTATCACACTCAATGGCCTTTTGTAGTGCATCTTTGGCAAAAGGGGTCGTGAGTATTGAAACAGCATATTAAGCATTGACGTGTATGAAAATCGTATAGCCAAATGTAGTTCACCCATTTTCTTGACACCAGAAGGGTGAAGAACCAGCAGTGGATAACTGTGTGTGTAAACTCGACCAGTTTCCAGAGTAGATATACGAATTCGGACCTTTCCAATTTTAATATCCTTGTTTCCATCAGAACCACCTATCTGACAGTTATCAAATACCCCCACAGTGAGAACTGTGGCTGGATCATAAACTTCCCAAGTGTACTGCTCATTATATTTCGGGTTCAGGCTATTAAATATGGTTCGAGTTCGAACCCATTTGTGGCCATACTTTGCTACACAATAAGTATCCGATGTACCTTTCCCTTCCCTTGTTTTCATTGGATGAAGCCCATTAGCATTCAAAATTCCAAGTTCCAAAACACCAATTGATGGTTTCCAAAGCTGCTTAGCTGTTGGCCGCAGATCACTGCTATACTGAGTTGACTCATCAAGAACATGGTATCCTCCATCAAGACAAACACAAACATGGAGCCTACTATGAAATTTATCCTTCTTTGCACGGTCCTCATCCATGGCATCTGATAAAGATTTCTCCAGGTTGTACCACTGGGAACGAACATATCGATCATCAGCACGCTTAACAACGGTGTTCCATGGTATAACAGCCTTTCCAATGGTCTCATCCTTATTAGGACCCACACGATCTTCAACTGAAAAAATAAAATGTTCTTCAAAAGGCTCAGAAGCAACCAACATAAACTCCTCATTCCAAATTGGATTCAAATTTCGAGGTTGAACTGTTTTTGTCTTTAAGACCTGGTTACCAATCTGAACCTTAACATATGCATCAGGAAACTTGTTCTTGTCAGCTGGAACAAGGTCTTGTGCCTCAATAACATTAACACGGACATACCACAATCTTGGAGAGTGATAAACTTTTGAACGGGTATACATGGAGGCAATCGAAGGGGTATCACCAGGAGCAATAGCATCTGAGTGCCAGGCATCAGGAAAAGCCTCGTCAGCCTGTGTGCCATACCAAACTGCAAGCATCAGTTCTCCTTTCTTTTTCTCTCCTTTCTTGTCTTCTAGCCTATACCATTCTGGAGCCAATGGACTATCGGGTGGAACCCTTGTCGGAACCTCATGGAGATCAAAGCGTACAATCCCAACAAAGTCATCTTTCACTAAATCCTTATCCTTAAGAACAACTTCCAGCACAGATGACTGCAGTGTTTCCTTTGCAAAGGCAAACACCTGATTCCACTCAGGATTTTGATTCTTCTCAAAATGCTTTGTGATCCCTTTGAAGTTTCCAACTTTAACTTCAACATATGGATCAAGGCTACCTGTCACATCTTTTGAAGGAAGATCTTGGGCTTTTACCACTCGTACAAAAAGGTATCTCATCTGTTCAACAAGGTCATAGGTGCTGGCTGGCCTGTCTCCTCGTATAACTCGGCCTCCAACAATTCGCCCTCCTCCAAGGAACGGGCTTGTCTCTTTAAGAGCATAATCAAGTGGTTGTGATGATGGGCCTGAGGACATGTGAACAATTTTCGGTGGCTGGGGTTCAGATTTCATCTCATGTACTCCATAATTCATTTGTTGCTGGGGGGGAAACGGGGGAAAATTTTGTTTTTGTTGTGAGTGGTTTGCAGTCGGAAGATGATGAAATGTTCGTCTTTTATCAGTTTTCTCTTTGCGAAGTGAATTTGGGGCAGAGTTTGGAATTTGAGCATAAGCTGAGCCTACATCTGTATGCAGAGCGGATTCCATGGCAGGAAGTGGATTTGAGGATTTGATTGAAGGGTCATCAGTAACAAACACTTTCAAACCAAGCTCTCCTTTTGCACGAGACAAAATGTGTCGTTTTTCAAGAGGGTAGTGCAAAACAACCGCATCAGAGTAGGGCACAAATGATGTTCCAGTGAGGCGAACCTTCCCAAGACAAGTTTTCCCGTTGTTTGCTTTGTTATGGTCGAAAACATAGGCTTCCAGAGGTAGGTTAGATAAGTTGTTTGGATCTGAGATATTGAAATAGAAACTTTCATTCCAGACCGGATTGAGATCTTTTTCTTTAGTAGTGGTGCGGAATCTCTGGCCATCAAAATGGAGCTCCACAAAGGGATTGGACGAACCCTGCCCATCTTTGGCTACAAGGTCATGGGCGCTCACGACCTCCACCCCTAACTTGAAACTACTCATGGTTTATTTTACTCAGAGCAGAAAAGGGAAACACTGTCGCAGCTATCAGGAATCGGAAGGAAACAAAACAACACCTGAAAAATGAAGAAAACTAATAGATCAACAATGATGAAAAGTGCATCGTATAAAGAAATTGACAGGAAGCATCAGGCGCTGTGCATGTATGAAGTTAAAACAGATGAACTTCAGTCCAGAAACAAATAAGAAAAGCAAAATTGAAAGGATGAAAGTACTTAAATGCGAAAAAAGCACAAGACAATAAATTAAATTTCCATGTTAGAACATGAAGCTATCAGAAGGAATAGTGTATAGTTAATTTTTCCCTTTATAAGCGCTTGCTAAATCCAAGTCCAAGCTTTTCAAAAACCCCAATCAATTTTTTCCATTTGATTCTTAAAAATATAATCTTAATTTTAACATGTCCTCAAATTTTAGAAAGGAAAGAAAAAGGAGAGTTAATAAGATTCCACACACAGAGATAAAGTAGGAAATAAATCTATGAATTTTTCTCAAACCAAAGCAAGATTCTGAGAAAAAGCTACCATACTTTTAGCTTCACATCAGAAACAAATAAATAAAACAAAAAAATTATAACAAAAAAAAGCAAAAATAAAGAAGCAAAGAATCCTTTTAAACCTTAAAAATCCAGTTCCCTTTACCAAAACCGAAAAAGGATACGAGAATATCTGGTATCTTTCAAATACCCTTTTTTCACTTTCATAAAACTAAACATAAATTCCATAAAAGTTTTATCTTATAAGAAAAAAAAAGAATAATTTTTTAATACATATTCCATAGTCCATAAAAAAAATTAACAAAAACAATCCCAGGCTCTGTTTCTTTCATGGGAAACAATGACTGGGTTTTTTTTTTTTTTTTAAAGTTAAGAATGTTATAGCAAAAACAAAATTTTCCCCCATGAAAAGCTTCTATGAATTTTTTTTATAATCTTAACAAAGAAAAGAAAGAATCAAGTTTTTTTTCTAGGTTTCAAATCAAAGAACACCCAACAATCAGACAATCAAAAGCAGCGAAAACTTCAAAAAACATTAAAAAAAAAATCCAACCTGAACGAAAGAATAAGAAAAGTAAAGAGACTCAAAACTGACCTCTGTTTTTTAAGTTGAAAGCCTCGGTTAGGAAAGTGAAAGGAAGCTTCAAGCTATATGATCAGCATCTAAGAAACTTAGCAGAGAAGTTGATCAAATATAAAAAAACGAGGAATTACAATTCTTAAAAAAAAAAAGACTCGTTGACTAAGAGAAGGAGAGTCGTCGAAAACGAGTTAAATGGTTCTTGTTTGACGAGAAAGAAAAAATACAAAAAAGAAAAACAAATGATGCAAAGAGGAAGGTGAGAGGAAAAAGAGCAGCTCCAGTTTCTGTTTCGTTCTTTTTTTGTTTTCCTCTTCTAACCTTATTCGACAACGATACGGAAGTTCATGTAGTTTTAAATTTCAACACTCCTCCGAATGATTCCAATAAACGTACTCGCTTTATTTTCTCGACACGTATCAATTACGAATAAAAAATGTTTTTATTTCTTGGTTTTTTCTTTTTAGTTGACTGTTTTTTAATTTGATTTTTCGCATGTTTTTGAAATTTTTTGACAACTTTATTTAATTTTATCTAAAATTTTGATGATTGACCAACCAAAAGAAAATTTTTTTTGATCAATTTTATTGTATAATTCTTTTTTTCACAAAGAAAAAGTAGTGAATATGATCAAGTGTAACGATATTTATGTTTTGTAGTACATAAAATATTAAATTATTTTATCAAAATATTTAAGCTTTTATTTAAATAATACATAAAGTTGAAAATTAAAGAAAAAATCAGTCGGTAAAGAAAAAAACAATGAAATAATGGAGTAAACACTGCCAGTTTAGAAAAATATAACTTGACTTTTCGATTTAATAAAAGGGGCGAAACATATTATTGGCCAACGCGTAGAACAACTTTATATTTGTGGTATTAATCTTTTTCTATGTTTATCCTTTTCAAATTTGATGGACTGCGACAGTAACTCAATAAAAGGATAATTTAGCTAAAAGGAATCAAATTACTGATTCGACCTTTTTCTTTTTATTTTTAAAATTTTAAATTTAAAAAAATTATATTATTTCAGGATTAGAATATATTATAAATTTCAACAAAATTTTTATCAAATTCATAAATCATAAAAAAAAAGGTAACTTAAATCTTACAAATCAATTTTTTTTTTTTTTACTAATATAAGGAAATATGATGTAAAAAGGAGGGACAATAAGGGGAATTTGATGACGCACCAATCACTATAATAATACTACTATTATTAATTCACAAATTTGTGGGACCATGCTACCTATGCTGAGTGGCTGGTGGGCTTTGGAGCCAATCCATGTGATGGTTCTTCTCTCCACTCATTTTTAACATTTTTGTGATCAACGTAGAACAGGGAATAAAAATATTCGAGAAAATTAATAAATTAATGTCGTTTTTTTCTTTTTGATGAAGCAAAACTTTTCAGTTAAAGGGTCTCATTCGAGACCTAGAGAGCGTGGTTGTTGATAGATTTAACATTCATGGAAAAGAAAACCTAAATTTGCTAATTAATTGAAATTTGGGGAAAAATTAGTGATGATTATCCTCCTTATATACGTCAACAAATATTCAAATTTTACTGAAAACAAGTATATCATCAGGACGCATCTAGCCTCTAGGCTAGGAATAAGATTTGCAATATTATCTATTTATATCATTGGTGATGTTTAAAATTTAAATATTATTATTAAATATTTTATTATAATTAAATTTTTTTTCATGATATTAACTCTGAAAAAGCTCTAATTCAAATACTTTCACCATCCAGTCGGTTGGGCATGCTTAGGTGGTTAGTCTATGTATTAAAATGGTTCAACATTTTAATTATAGTAGCTTCATAAATTAATTATAAATTTTTTTTTAGCATTTGGTGAGAAATTATGATCGACAACGGATTAAATCGAGATGATTTTTTGCTTATCTTGAATCTTATCCGATTCGATTCCAAAATTTTTTTTTATATTTAAATTCGATTTGATATTATATAAACATATTCGATTTGATCCAAACCGAATTAATAAAAATATTATTTTTTAAATATAAATATTTAAATATATAATTATATAAATATATATAAATAAAAATTAATTTTAAAAATTATTTTTATATAAATATTAGGTTGGATCGAGTTAGATTTATCTAAAACTTAAATCCGACTTGACCTATATTTTTTTTTAACATTATCGGACCTGATCCGATCTGAAACTTAATTTTTAATAAAAAAAATTAATCTTATGAGATTGGATCAAAATCGTTGAAAACGAATTAAATTGCCTACCTTATGAGAAATAAAAAGAAAGAAGAAAACATGAAAAACTTTGAGATTTTAATTGAATTATATTTAGATCATACAAAACATTGTCTTATTATTTTCTTGTTTTTTTTAAAGAAAATGGATCAATTTATATTAGTATAAAATTTTTTAATTATATATTTAATTATTAATTTTATTAAATTTAAAAAATGAGAGAGATAATTAAAAATAAAAAAATAATTTTATAATTAAAAATAAAAAAAATAATTTTAATCTCCTCCCTTTTATTTATTGAAATTAATAATCAAAAAAATAAAATAACTTTTTTAATTTTACATGGATGTAAATTAATTTTTTTAATAAATATTATTAATAGTTTTTCCAAATGGGTTTCATCATAGTTTTAACATTAAAGAGAATATGTTTTGAAACTCTTTCCAAGAAAATGAAGAGTACCCAACTCTAACTTGATCGATTTTACCTTAGTCACCAAGGCAACTTCATTAACATTACAAAATGTTAATTAAATATATATATTTTTTAATAATTTATTAGCTGTAGTTTCTGCGGCTGCTGCCTATAACTTTTCAGATGGCTTATTCTAAAGTTCTCACACTTTTTAAAGTGGAAATTTAATAGTTAGTTTTTTATAATTCATTATCAATAAATTTTCTAAATTTCACAAATATATTTAAGAAGAAGATACATAATTTTTAAAATATATTAAAACTAAAAAACAAAAAACATTAATTTATTAATATCTCATAAAATTAAAATTATATTCGAAGTATATATATATATATATATATATATGTAACTCTTTATATTATTGTTCAAAAGTCCGAAGTCGTGACTTGTGAGCGGATGTGATTTGCATTTGAGCCAGCTATTATCAATTTTATAGATACTTGATTGAGAGTGACAACTAAAGCGGATCACAATCAAGCTGAGTCATACTCGTCACACCTATTTAACATAAAATTTTCATAAATAAGCGTCAATGTTATTTATCCTATCAAATCTTTATCTATAAAATATTTTTTTATTAATCAAATAATTTAATGAAACTATTATTCGATAACGTTATTAAGATAATATTTAAAAAATACTTTTTTCTTAAATTTATCAAAATAACGTATTAATATGAAAATTTTAAAATAATAATTGAATAATTCTTAATTTAATGAAATTGATGTTTGTTAAAAAAACAAATTAATAAAATACTAGTTTAACCGCTTTGTTAAATTAATAATTAATTCACGGGGATGGAAGTAAGATAATCGGTTAAAAGCCAGCTAATTTTGTACTAAAAAAGGGGGATTTTAACCCAAAATTAATGAAATGAAACTATGGAAGCTTGCTGCAACCTTTGACCATAATACTAAAATAAGTAACTGATCTTGCGAATTACAAGGAAAATCAATAATAAATAAAAGTAAACGAAATTAATAATCTATATTAAGATTATTTTAATCCTTAAATTTAACCTAAAATATTTGGTAAAAGCCCAAAGTATATCCGAAAATGCACCCAGGCAACATGGAAGTTTGATCGGCAAACAGAATTCTGATTAACCCTTTATTTTTTTCCCCTAAAAATTCTCCCTTACCTACAGCTTTCTCTGTTTTTCTTTAAAAAAAAAAAAAAGAAACTCCACTTCTATTGCCCCTCCATCATAACGAGACATTCAATATTTCTTCTCTTCTCTTAATTATTTGTTTCAAATCCTCTCCTTTTTTTTTTTTTCCTTTCTAACCATTGCCAAAACGTTTGTCCTAGCCACCTTCATTGAAGAACAAAATGGTATGTTCCCAAACCTTTCTCTTTCAATTCACTTTTATATTTTTATATAAAAAAATCACAATTTTTAAAAAAATTTTAGATGTTAAAATTTAAAATTTAAATCAATTTCATGTCATTTCTTGAACATGATACATAAGAAATTGATCCCGATGTATATATATTTATGATCACATTACATGCTCTAATTTTTTTAATGTAACATGAGTAAATCATACTATTTCCATTAAGCATTCAGATTTTGTTGTGACAAGATGCTTAGACGTGTGATTATTAGGCATATATTTCCATACTGAAAACGATTGCTTCGACCTTGGTTTTGAGTTTTGACATTGCACGTTGTTAATTTATATGGTGCTATCAATAGGCAAATTCATCATCTGGAATGGCTGTGAAGGATGAGTGCAAGCTGAAGTTCTTGGAGCTCAAAGCCAAGCGGAACCATCGGTTTATTGTGTTCAAGATTGACGAGAACACACAACAGGTGATTGTAGAGAAGCTGGGAGGTCCGGAAGCAACTTACCAGGATTTCACTAACTCCTTGCCCGCTGATGAATGTCGCTATGCTGTCTTTGATTATAATTTCACCACCAATGAGAATTGTCAGAAAAGCAAGATTTTTTTCTTCGCATGGTATGAAAAATGGAAAAGAAACCAGCACCTTGTTCCTTTTTGAAGGGGTAATCGTTACAATTAAGAAGGCAATAATATTGTTTTTTTTTTTTTTTTATGGTATAGGTCACCTGACACATCAAAGGTGAGGAGTAAGATGCTTTATGCAAGCTCTAAGGATAAATTCAAGAGACAGTTGGATGGGATTCAAGTTGAGCTGCAAGCAACAGATCCAAGTGAGATGAGCTTGGACATCGTCAAAGGACGAGCTCTCTAATTCCGATAACTTTGAAGTCCCTTCCACTTCCATTCAAGGCATAATTTCCTTTACAATTGTCTTTATCAATTTGTGAGCTATTCCCCTGTTTTTCACTTTCTCAAGTAATCCCCAGTCTAAATGGTAATAGAAGGGTAGGAGTTTCCATGTTTTTCAGTTTTCGCTTTGATAACATGCATGTATATCTCCTAAATTGTAGCCCAACACTATGGAGGATTTTGTATTTTTTTTTCTAGAAATTAATATTATTTAAGAGACTGCTATACGCACTCCTTAAAAGAGGAATGATTCTTATGGGATGTTTGGGCCTTTGAGTTTGACTTATTGAATGATTCAATGCTGCTTCGAAATCTGTCTTGTATTTCATTGAATTTGGACAAAATTTCCATACGATCAGTTTAATGATCTGGACTACTGCACTAATAATTCTTAATTGGGTAAACTAACCATATCGATGAAAATTAAACCGAAAAAGAGAGGTCTCTGTTGCTTCTTAATTATCAGTTAGTTAATTCGTTCCAATATTCAGTTTCCCACGTCTCCACTTGCCTAGTTATTTTCTCTTTTGTGTCGAGAGAAGCTTGAATGGCATGAGGTTCATATGGGGGAGGCAATGCACATGGAAGTTTCTCACTAGGAGACTTCACCATAGACTTCACCTTCAACTCCTTATATAAACCTTTCTCCGAGCATGCTGTGGTTTCCGAGCAGACCCTTTTGGCTTTTGAAGGTATTGTTGGTTTAAACTTCAAGAGTTTGGAGTATTCGTTCAACAAATGAAACATGTAATCATATACATTTCTCATTGTCAGAAACTGTTCAATTAATTTGCTTCCTGCCTTCCCAATGGCCTGTGCCTGCAAGTTTATGGAGTGAAGATCAGTGTTTTCTTATGAGATATACTCCATAAGGGCTAGTGAATTCAACTAAAATTTTGCAATAAAAATCCATTCCAATCCATGTTTGCTGAGAATAAGTACCTTGTCAGTGTGATTATTACCCCATTCAACTGCAAACTTAAGATCACTACATTTGCTTTTGCTGCTGATGGGCCAGTAATGCTGCAAAGGCGCCAAGCTTCTCGAGAAGAAATCGAAGTATTTAGGCTTTATCATCAAGGTCATGCTATCGCATGCTAGTATGTATTTCTCACTTACAGACCAGGTTGCTCCTTCTATATAAATTTTGTATCTTTTTGCCGATTGTACCATAGCAAAACTCAAAATCTCATTAGTATCAAGAAAAAGAGTGGAAGTCATTTAAAATTGAAATTTATAAAGGAAGCAAATCCATAAGAAGGATAAAAGTTTTCACATGTACCTATGGGTGCACTGATCTTCCAATTTAGAATGCTTGAACCCTTGTTTAATTTCTTTACGCCAATCCTGAATTAATACCAAATCAGAGTTACAGAAACCCAATAGCAAAAAGTTCCAAGGCCAGTTTTAAAATTTTCTGGCTTGGCATTGGCTAATTTTCTTATAATTTCAATCAATTTATAGAAGCCCTTCAAAGACCCAACGTAAGTTTCAGGAATTACCTGGGAATAAAGCCGAACATTCCAGTCGTATTTGTCTGAGAGGTTGCACTTCAAAAAGTCTACCCTATCTGCAGCAACATATGGGTTACCCCTCCAGTAGGCATAAGGTGTCCTCTCTTCCCACTTGACCCTCTCGTTCCCTTTCTTTATTGCCTTCAACATCTCTTCCCATGGCATTATATTAACCTCAGCCCTGTCAGAACAAAGCAAAGCAAATTAAAGAAATTCGCTTAATAACTGCAGTAAACATTTGGTAGTTTCTTTCTTCTTTTTTCTTTTTAAAGAATTTCCATTCGCAATTTGTTGTGGTGCTACATATGTACCAGAATTTACCATCCCCAGAAGGTCCAGTCAGGGAACACAATGTCCAGTGCCTCCTCCTCTCCACAGTAATGAAAGACAGGCGGTGGTGATGTAGCATTAGGTCCTTGGTAGTCTCTTTTCTTGATCATAGTCTTGTCTCCACTATAGAACAAAAGATCTAAGTCTGGTATCTTTCCAGGGTACAACCTCAGAAGCTGCAAAATGCCCCAGACCGTAAACGCATCCCTTGTTTGATAAGGCTTGCTGTACTTCTCCACATAGGCCTTGCCCTTGACAATAACAAGTCTAAAATGCGCACTCGGTTTTCCTCTTTCAATCATTTCTTTTGTAATTCCTGAACTTTTCCACTGCTGTAAATCTTGGTGGATCCACCGGAAGTAGTCTGGGCAAGTTTTTATTGATGATTCATCAGGCTCAAATACCGAGGGATAATTGTCTGGGCATTTTCTTGGCAAACCTGAATCGGAGCAGTTGAGAGGAAATTCAATCCTCTCATGATGTTTTTTAGTACTTCGTGACGAAAAAATAATCTGGCCAAATTGAGAGCCCCTTATAATAGGCTGGGAAAAAATATATATAGACAAAATTATTAATAATAAGCTGTTGCATTAATCTTATACAACAGAATTTGAAACAATATTGAATATCTAATGCCTTTGATACATATACTTTCCAGGGTTCATTGTATAAACAATATGTTAATAGTGCCTGTTAACACATTAAACATGGACTATCAATTGAGGCAGTGTACAGCTGGAAGCATTACATGAAGAATGCTTAGGGGCATCCTTGTTTTCCCCTTCTTGTTTGCCAGACTTATTAGCAATTACCTTTGCAAATTTGATGAAAACAATTTCTGTGAACCTAAGTAACAAGTAATGGATGGAAACTTTGTTTTTCTGTTCTCAATATATTCAATTTAATTGTCAAGTTTTGTATTTGTAAGTTCTAAAAATATTATATTATATTTAAATATTTATATCAATTGTATCTGATCATTTGGTTCTTTGGTAAGTATTATATTTATATTTTGCGTGTAAAATTGAGTTTGAATCTTCCCTTTCTCAAATTTTATTTATGAAAAAAAAAGGCATTAGTTGATGGAATGAAAGAAACAATAATGATGGAGGAAAGCAACAACTGGGGGGAAACTTACAATGTCCATCCAATTGAGCCGAGATGCGAAAAGGATGAAGAAGAAGAAGACTATCATAGTAGTGGAGGAAACCAGTCCCTTGAGCCGTCCAAGACCAACCTTGGAAAAGCAACCATGGATCATTTGATCACCATAAGACCAAAAACCATGAAAAAGATTAACATGGTCTCCCATGGAAATTATGCAGTCGACAAGTTGATCAGGCACAAACTTCAGGGGTTTGAGATTCTTTCCAGATCGTGCTTAGAAAACACAGCTTGATTCAAAAGCAAATGTGTTAATGGCCTAACATATATGGAACCATGGGGCAAAATAAATGTAGAACGGAATTCAAAATCTGTTATGGACGTTAAAGAAACCATGAATTATATGTGGACCTTCCTTGAGCCAATTACCTTCCTATCTTTTAATTATAATAAGCAATATATAGAAGGTAAGACGCAAGAAATGCTTTTGCACACTCAAATACCATAAATATTCAGACAAAATTTAAGAAGATAACATATTTAGCTCACATACATTTAGAATTATATTTATAGTTTTGTTTGGAGAGATTCTAAAATACCATAAATATTCAGACAAATTTTAAACAGTGCCTAAATTATTCATTATTATTAAATGTTTTGTAACTACTATTTTATTCATATATTAATGTTCACCTAAATTTAGGATGTTTCGTAATGTTAATTCAGTTAATTTTAAATTAAATTATTTAAAATTTAAATAATTAAGTTATATTATTTTACATTTATTAATCAAATTAAATTTATTAATTTTAAAAATATAATCGACAAAATTTAATTCAATTAATTTTTAAAATAACCTAATAATAAAATAAATTTAAATTATGTTATATTTTAAACTTTTAATGTATTATATTTGAGACAAATTAAATAAAATCATCTAGTAAAATATTTAAATACTAAAGTATTAAGTTAAAAACTTTAATAATTTATAAATTAAATGAAACGATATGTTTCATATATTTTTAATTTTATATTTAGATTTTATTATATTTTGATTAAAACTTAATTAATCCAATATTTAACTGAATGAATTAAAAATAGAAATTCCTCCCAAATCATAATTGTTAACTAATCGAAATTAATTCGATGATTGATTGATTAATCGATCAATTCCATCTGTTCATTCGTTTTCATAGATATAAACACTCCTAATTAATCAAATTTAGATAATCTAGTTAAAGAAATTAACAAGGATTTTCGAAAAAAAAAATCAAAACACTCTGTAAAACTATTAACAACTGATCCAAAAGAATTGAAAAAGTGTTATAATTATAAACAAACGTGTGATCTTGTTATATGATATTTAATAATAATAAAAAAAAAATCATGGAAACACACAAAAAGAGCATACCTGTGTTGTAGCCAGAAGTCGTGGTGCTGTTTCCTGGAGATAGGGAAAAACTTAGGTCACATGAATGAGAAGTCGAAAACAATGTAAAATTAGGCAGTGATTTTGATCTGTTGAAAGGAAAGGTTTGAAGCTGAATGGAGTTTGGTCAAATAATACGTGCACTTCGTAGCGGGAAAATATGGGATTGAATATTTTAGTAATTTAAAACCAATTAATAATTTGATTTTACGTAACATTTTAATAATTTAAGATATTAAAATTACGAGTTTAAAAGAATTTAAATCGTCAAATGTTTTAAAATTCAAAAGTCAAGGTTATATTAAAATTAAAAAAAAATATATTTGATTTTACAAGTAATGGATATCAACTCAAATTGATAAATTTTGTTGAAGATTGATGGATAAAGATGATGAATTACTGAATATATTTGTCTACATGTACTACCCAAAGTCAAATTTACTTTGGTTACGAAATCACACTAATCTTCTTATATCTAATAATTGGAATATTGTAGGTAATTAGTAAACCCTAAATTTAATGAAGACATAAATACTTTTAAAAGGTGTCATTTGATATATAGATTTTAGATTTGAATAATAATATTTGTAATTCTTTCGTTTATCTTTTAATATTTAATTAATTTCTGACCATTAAATTATTAAAATTTTGCATTTTGGGGCTCATCAAGTTAAAGTTTCAAATCACTCTAGAACAGTTTTTCTGGTATAAAAAAATTATAGCTTACTAACCTATAAAGTGGTGCTCAAAAGTGGGATTTGAGTAAAATTTTGAAATTGTTTTTTTTTTTTTCTTTGGTGACTTGAAAGATGGTTACTGGTATATAATATTGTAATTACTAATTAATAAAGTTTGAATATTTGATTAATCGAGACTCTCCAAAATTCAAATAGTGTATGAATATAAAAGCTTCAATATAATAGACAAAGAATTATGAATTGAGGTCCAAAATTTTGTTATTTATGGAGGATATTTGCTTGCTATTGGTAGTTAACGCTACAAATTTTGCTTTATTGCTTTTTATTTTTACTAAGCAAATATTCGTTTTCCCACATCTCCACTTGCCTCGTTGAATTAGCTTTTCTTTCAAGAAATTCCCGCAGCCCTTGGGGTTCATAAGGTGGAGGCATTGCGCATGGAATTGTATCGCTAGGAGACATTACCAGGGATTCTACCATGAACTTTTTCCAATTACCAGTTGAAGAACATGCCATTGTTTCCGGACACAGCTCGACAGCTCCTGGAGGAATTGTGGGTTCAAATTTCAAGAGCTTGGCGTACTCATTCAATAAATGAAACATGTAATCATATACATTATCCATCTTTAGATCCTCTTGTATGAAGTTACCGGCAGCCTCTCCAATGGCCTGTGCCTGGCGAATTAAAAAAAATGTCACATTTCCAGGGGCTTTGATTAAGAAGAGAGGAAGAAGAATGCTATGAAGTACAGAATAGAGAAAAACCTTTTCAGGATGAAGGTTACCCCATTCCACTGCGAACTTGAGAGATGTGCACTTGCTGTTTTCCCTAATGGGCCAATAGTGCTGCAATGGCACCATGCCCCTGATGAAGAAATCATAGAAACGAGACCTTATGTATAAGGTCATTGAATCACATGCCAAAATATACTTTTCACTTACTGACCAGGCCCATCCTTCTGTATATATCTTATATCTGTAGTATATAACAACCAATCTTTGAGTTTGAAAAACTAAAAGTCACGAAGTGCAGCACCAAATTAAGAAATGGGATAGCTTAAAAGAAGATGGTTAACGATATGAAACTAGTGCATTGCTTGATGATTACCTGTGGGTGCATTGTTCCTCTAGATTTGATTGTTTGAACCGCTGTTTAGATTCCCTGACCCAATCCTAAAATTTAACAATATAAGCAATCAGAAGGATATTGCTGATTTCTAGGTTGGAGTCTTGGAGAGCCAACATCCTAAAACATGTATGTATTTCTTCAATCAATTAAGGCGATAAAAAGCTGATTGCAGTTATTTACCTGAATGTATAAGAGGGTATTCCAGTTATTTTTGTCGGTAATGTTGCATTTCATAAGGTCCTTCCTTGTAGGGGCCACGCTGGGGTTGCCTCTCCAGTAAGCATATGGCACCCTGTCCTTCCATTCTGTCCTCTGGTTGCCTTTCTTTATCTCCTTCAAAACACTTCTCCAAGGCCTAATATTGGTCTCAGCCCTAATGAAAAGTGTGAAAAGCCCATTATTAGTTTTATGGATTAGATCATTGAAAGAATGGGCCTCAAATAATTGTTGGCCATATCTTATATTCTTATCAGCTCCAGAAAATTTCAGGGCCAAAAAATAGGAAAAGGAGGAATTATATTCCATTACCAGCCCCAAAAGGACCAATCTGGGAAAACAATGTCCAGGCTCCATTCATCCGCACAATACCGAAACAAAGGCGGTGGGCGCGCATCTGGACCCCGGAAATCCCTGGACCTAACCACAGGACGATCATCACAATCAAACATCAACTCCAGGTCTGGCAATTTTCCAGGGTACAACCTAAGAAGCTGCAATATACCCCACAAAGTGAACGTATCTCTGGTCTGTATTGACTTCCTATATGTCTCTACGTATGCTTTCCCCTTCACAATCACCAGCCTGAAATGTGCCGTCTTCCGTGCCCGCTCGATCATGTCTCTACTGATTCCTCTCTCCTTCCAGGACCGTAAATCTTCATGGATCCATCGGAAGAATGAGGGGCATGTAATTTTTAATGAAGCGTCAGGATTGGTTGTATTGCGTGTGGTAGGATAGTCCCTTGGACACGTTTGTGTCTGGTTTCCTGTGGAGCATTTGAGTGGGAACTGTGGCTTCTGTGTTGCCTTTGTGGAATTGGAACCGAATACTAAATTTTGATAAGAAGAAACACCTGAAAAGATGGACTACATCGGGAAAAAAACAACAACTAGACTTGGTGAAACGAATCATTTACATTTCTTTCAGCAATAGGCAGTATATGCAGTGATTCTTGCATGGGTTAGTGGGGTTTTAAAAATACCATGGTTCATAGGTAAGCTTATTTAATGGTGGATAGATCTTTATAAGGATTCTGCAACACTTACAGCATCAAACCAAGCAATGGAAGCTAGCACACCAATGATGAGGAGGAACACCGCGATCACAGTAGAACCTGCAACCTTCTTCTTCATGGGCCGCCAAGGCGTTCCTGTAAAAGATTCTTGTATCTCTGACAAAGGACAGAAACTGCCCTGATGATTCTCATTATTCCTTTTCTTTCTTCCAGAGATCGAAGGCTTCTGATCATCCAATTGGTGTTTAATGTTGTACTTCGTCTTTATACCTAACATAGCGAAGTTCAGAGACACCCGAGAGCATGCCACGATTCTTAGTTAGCTCTAGTTTTGGGAACTTCAGTAAGTCAGCTTTCCTTCTTTTGTTGGGCTCTCAGCTATATGTATGGACACCAATGTGCTAATAAACCAAATTAAAAAGGCACAAAGGTACAAAGGACTCTCTAAATTTATTGTTATTTGCCAAACAAGGCTCCAATAGTCCAATAGCATGGTTGGTAGAACTAAAAAGAATAAAAAAAAAAAGTATAGAATTTAACTTAGTTACTGCAAGCAAAAATAATATTAAATAAATTTAGATTAAAATCTCAATATTTATATATTTTTTTAATTTTCTAGCTGCGACTTCTTTTATACCCTAAAAAAATATTTTGGGTTCTTCATGCTTATATGGTCGAAGAAGTTTACTTATTTTATAATAGGTTTCTCATGCATCTCTGGAAATTTTTTTTTTAGCCAAATTCAATTTCATAATATTTACATTCAATATTCCATGGTTTTCTTTAAAAATATGTGGGCAAAATTTCATATAGCCTTATGGGATTATGTTTCCAAATTATTTGACTTAATACAATTTGATTTCATTCTTTATACCCACCATTTGCTAGACAATAGTAGTACCCATATACTAACAACCTTGGTCGTAAAAAATTCATGTCCATATAAAATTTCAACGTTCTTGTTACGAAGCAAAGAGAAAGGAGACAGGGTCAGAAAACAATAAGGGGAGAGCTTGCATAGAAGGAAACAAGCACATGACTTCTTAGAAAAAATAATAAACAAAAAATTTGGCTTTGAGACATAGAATAATATTTTGTTTAAAGGTAATTATATTTTTAAAATACAACAAAATCTTAAAATTTTTCAAATAAAAATAATAAAAATAATTATAGTAAAAATTTATTTATAATAAATGAATAAACATAAATTTTTATTCAAATAATTATGATCGTTTATATAATTATGATTTTTATAAATAATATTTTTATTTATATTCAAATAATTATGACTGTTTATCGTACGATAATTATTTTTATTCAAATATGATTATTTAAAATATAAATAAATTTAATACAAAAATTAACTTTATTCATTAACTTTTTATCCTATATAAAATACATTATATTTTAAACTACCAATATAATTTTGTGCGTATAACCATGTGCTTACCCCACTGTCTCACATTTTATGAATGTATTTGCAAAGGATAAAGTATTTGGTGAGTAGAGCAATAACTTTCTTGTTTTTAAAGACTGATTCACGTTTATTTTCACACACGTAATTTGCTCCCTAAAACCATACAAAATCTTCTCACAAAAGCGATCAGGAATTATCGAGCCTATACAGTTCTATTTGTTTAGTGTTTTTTTCTATTGAATCTAACTTTTGGTTTCCGTAAAAATCACGCTCAATTATATTCGCAGCTCAAATCACATGAAGGCCTGAGTTAAGACGTGGACCAGTAATTGTCTGGCATCTCTGAAAACATGAGAAAAAAAAAAAATTCACACCGAGTCAGATTCTCAAAAGTAAGAGTCTGTGTTAGAATCTCAATTATAGCTCAAAAGATTAAAAAAAAACTTGTACAATATTATTAAATCCCTTCTTAAGTTTCTCTATGCCATTAAAATTCTCCTCTGTTTTTCATCGTGACTTTTACCTAACAAAAGTGAACTTTCAGCTTCCCAGATCAATACGACACTAGATATTAATAGAAGTTCGGTTTACAATATTAGGTTTGGTATTTGTCCAAATGAAAGAGCGTTTTAATGTAAAGCTGAAGAAGAAAATTATTCGGCTTGACTGGTGGGTCTGCAAAAGCAAGCCCTGGATTCTTACCATGACTAGCCAAAGCTAGTCCAATCCATACGTCGAGAACTAGCAAAGATTTTCCACGTGAAGTACTAGACAAGTTAACCACATAGCAAATTCTTTGAATTCTAAATAATTAAAGAACATAAACTTATACTACGGGACAACCTATTTAATGTCAATGATCACGTGAAATAGCCCATAAGTTATGCACAAATAACTTTTGCGAGAATAAAAAAAAATAGATAGTCAAATCCAAGAGCCTTTCACTTATCGAAACTCTATGGACTCAGAGCATCAGGCATGGTATATAGCACCAGCTTGAACCAACCAACTAGATCACCCTTGAAGGCCGCATGACTTGCAGGAAGGATAATTGACCTATTGACGAAGGCAATTACGGTCAAGAAAATAAGCAACTTGTCCTACTTTAACAAAAGGATACTCATCCATATTTCTAAAGGACTAAAACATATACAGTTGTACATTGCATACCGTGTTCGTAATAATTGAGAAATCCTCCAAGTTTGAAGGTTTCAATAGCCAATTGTGGAAGGGAGGTCTCCCCTTAAAAAGTTTCGAAGCTGAGTTATATCCTTCAGCCCCGTCCTGCAGATAATACACCATATCAACCAGCAAAGACGGTAATCATTACTCCTTGCCACCAATGAACTCATATTTACTATTCCAACACTAAGGTAGAGTAAGAAGTATGATTTCTATTGATCAGTCATAAGTCAATAGAAAGATTCATCTATACTTGGAACCTACATCAATGGTACTACTGAGGAGCTTTATTTTACAGCCCGTAATCAAAGCCATTAAAAGAGATCACTAGAAAATAGCAAAAGCCAATCACGTGTACCATGCTTACATTGCACATGCTCCACATGCTTGGCCAATACATGAAACTTGGCAAAATAGCATATGCAAGCAAACAAGTTGTACTGAAAGTTAAGTTGGTTAAACAGCATGCTTCTTGCATCCATCACTAGTTTCATTAATGCAAACCACTTCAAACAGTATCAGGTCAAGAATGAAATTCAATAAAATAAGTCCACAATACGTATCCAAAACTATTACCTTGAGTTCTCGATAAGAAACCTCACTGGATGAGCATTTGATTTTGCATTCCTGCCTCAGTGATAAGAAAATTTCCAAAAAACGCTTTCTGAGGGGAAATTGTTCGAATAAGAACAGGATAATGACAATAAATTTTTGGTTCCAAGAGCATACTTGTAGCTTACTTGCACAACAATGATTCAGTAGATGGATAAATTGCCCCTTTAGCAGATGTGCCTTGCTTTCTTCCAGTAGTTCCAAGAATGACTTCATGCAAACCAGACTTATTCCAACATATAGAATACCTGAAAATTAATATACATAAATCATACAAAAAGAGAAGGATAAAACAATATTTAGACCTAGAGGTGCATGCATTCAATGGGAGTACCCGCAAGTTAAGGTGGCTTGTGCAGTCTCAGAATGCTGAAACTCCTTTGCTGGTACTGGTGCTGCACAAAACAGTGGCTGCTCACAGCATTGAAATAATTGTTGTCAAAATCATCCTGTTTTATATTGGATTAAGATGATATAAGCTTCACAAACCTTGCTGACTCCAAAAGGCTTTATAAGCTCATTTGACAATGGTATAATTCGATCATATAAAGATCTTTTCAATTGTTCCACCAAGCAAAAATCCTCAGAAAAGTAACAGGATTTTCCGACAGTAATGGAACAAAGGTAAACAGGTCGAAGAAAGTAAGAAAGCAAAGCCCCTAAGATAAGAAACAAAGAAACTTTGACATCAAACAAATGCAACACCAGTGCAAACTAGTTCACTAAATGAAATCAGGAAAGCCAAAAGCCATTCAAATGTCAAGTCATAAAAAAGAAAGTATACATGCTGCACAGTCATGTATGTTTCTGAATTGATGATATAGAAACAAAGAATGTGGCATTCAAATGATAATAGACCATGCAATAATAGTTAAATATAGTGTGTTTTTGCAGTGTATAAACTACAGCAACATGATTAACTGGTGTTAATTATCTAGGCTAGGCATGCAAACTCCTGCAATTATTTCATAGCAAATGATGAACCTTGAACTCCAAGAATGTTCCAACGAGCTATCTTGTCAGAGCAGCTAACTGACAATGTTGTATCACCACGACCAGGCTTCCTCTGAACCAAGCCAATAAGTTGTGAGCAATTCCCTGACATACATTTTCTAATAAGTTGATTTCTATAAAATATGATAACTGCCTTGTCTATTGAAACATTAATTATCAATGGAAAAGAATATGACAATACCACTTAATCAAAGGGACAAGAGTCATACATATTACTATTAAGAACTATCCCTTCCAAAATCAATCCAAAAACCCACGGGCAATTTTCAAAATAATGTATAACCTTTCACAGTTTTTCTTGAATAAAAGAGCTAAAATTTACCACTATTTCCTCTTGAAGCGTTGGGAAGCTCAATTATGGACTGGCCATGTTCATCAATTGTAGATGCTGCTGAATTAAGTGAAGCATCACCACCTATCAGACACACTCAAGAGATAGAAAGTCAAATTGCATGCCTTAGAATGAAAACCCAAGAAGACCGACATTAGAAGATAAGTAAAAGACATCACTAGGAATTACATGGCAACTGAGATATGTACAGATGTAATTTCCACCCTTCCCGGAGTTTATATTTTATTTCACCAGAACCATCTGAATCCAATTGGAAAAACAAGTGTTCAAGATCACCAGCTTGCAACTGTCTGGTTTCATTTTGTCCTAGCTTATTTAAATTGTCATTAAGACATTGAATCTCCGCATAGAAGAACCTGGTTCGATTACGAAGGAAAACAAAACAAACAAACCTTAGACTTACTAAAACTTAATCCCACAGTCAATTATTTTTCCTTTTATTCCTAAAACCCTAAATTTTCCTTTGGGAAAAAAAGACAGGTAATTGCAAAGTGAATACTGATAAGACAAGTATACCACTTAAATTTACATATTTTACTATTTCTTACTCTAAAAAATTTGAAATTTTGGTTTATGCGTAAAAGGAAAAATTAACAAGAACATTAAAGCATAAAAAATGGAAGGTGGGAATGGAAAAGGAACCTTAACAAAGCTCTGCGGGCAACAATTTCAGCATGAGAGTCATTGAGAATGTCACCACGATGGCTCAAACGAGAGCGCCCAATACACTTTGTTCCTGTGCCTAGTGCAACCACTTCCAAATCTGAACTCACAAAAGATAAAAAAGTTAAGTTAATTTAAGTGAGCTTGTATCAGCAATAGCATCATTATCAGCAACGTAGCTACTAACTAGAATAATTTTGAATTTAGATTCTTACTAGAACTTAGCAATAAATTAGGGTTTTGAGAGGATAAAAGAATGACCTTGAGAGGGAGAGGAGACGAGAAAGGCGGCCAATACGGTGACTTCGCGTCCCTGCGGCTTTCCCTTCTTTGGCAGCGACTGATAGAGAGCAAACACTTTCTCTGCAACTCTCTCCCCCCATTCTTTCTCTTTCTCTTTCTCAGAAGAAGAATAATCCATAACAGTAACTGAAGTAAGGAAAGGGAGAAGCGGAGTTCTGTAACGGAACTGTCACGCAGTCGCCTTCCTTTAACCGTTACCTTCAAAGAGACAGGAGCCCGACTACTGCGACTAGGACTTGGGCTGACCCTTGTCTAATGAGGCCTCTCATTACTATCCAATTAGTTGGGCTCATTTGGCTGGCCCACATACTCTTCATTTATGAATGATACTTACACCATTTAAAGAGCCAAAATTTCATGCCGTATCAAATTAATTTTTAAGACTAATATAATAAAAAAGTCTCTGAATTTTATTATTTTATTTAAATAAATTTTGATGTTTTTATTACATTCAAATAAATTTTTAATCTTTAATTTGAATTAAATAAACTTTTAATTTTAATTTATATACAAATAAACCCTTAATCTTTAATTTTTACATAAATAAAATTTTAATATAAATTAATTTTTTATTTGAAATAAAGACTTTTATAAATATAAGTGAAAACATAATAACTTATTTAAGTATAATAAAAATATAAAAAATTATTTAAATAAAATTAAATAATTCAAGAGTGTTTTAGTATTTCAATCTTTTTAATAATTTGGAAATATATATATTTAATTTTTTATGTATACCTCAAAAAGCATGCTTAATTTAATTAATTTAACAAATTAAATTTAAACATTAACAATTGGAATTTTTTAATAAAAATATTAAACAATGAATCAATTTGAATTTTATGGAGCTGGATAGATTCTTCAATTAAAGCTCCCCAACGCCGAAAGGCCTAAAAATTAAGTGTATAATTTTAAATTCAAAGATAAATTAGAGCATAAGTGATTGATAACAAGAAAGCCAGCAGAGAAAAGCAAAGCATTAAGCATGTAATGTACAAACTCAGCATTAAAGGCGATTTGTCCGCGTTTTGCCAAACTGGCCAACCAAGTCAGTCTCACCAACGCAGCATCAAATCTTTCACATCAAGAGAACACATCAATGTAATGTAACGGTCCAATCGAAAGGGACCCACACCATCACATGCTCAATTACTTGGTCACCAGCTTATGCTTACCTGTCAATTAGATATATCCGTTGTCTTGCCCTTATGATCTCACCTTCTTTCCAATCGCGCGTCCCACCTACTGCCCTTCCACATAAATCCAACGCTAGTATTTTTCATATTGCAAACAAAACCAAAAATAAAATAAAAACAAAATCAATCAATAAATTACATAAGACACTAATTATTTATTATCATTCCTTTTGATTTTGTCTCTTTCACTACCATTTTATCATTTTCTTTTTTAAATAAAAATAATAATTTTTGTTAACGAGAAAAAATTAATTAATATTCTATTTATAATAACTACTTTAAATAATTGGTATTTTTTGTATAATATATAAATCATATGTATAAAAAAATTACTCATATTAATTCAAATCTTACAATCTTAAAACAAAATCTTGGTTTTTGTTTTCTAATTATTAATTTAATTATTGGTTTAATTAATAATTAAAGTAATTTATAGACATGATGATGGGGATAGGGCCATGGAAAGTGACAGCACAGCTGGCAAGAGAGAGTGGGATTATTTAACTTTTGATATTTTACTAACGGGACTTCAAACCTCAATTTCTCAAAGCAGTCAATGGCGGGCCCATTGCCCATGGGCACACGATGCTCTGCTTGTCATCTACTCTACGTCGTCGTATTTCACTTACCGACAACTTGCACAGTTTAACCGCTTTACCTGTCGGAGTAAAAAGATTCCATTCCCTACTTTCAATCTACACCGACTGTCGTATTCTTTAAAATATAATGACCGTTGGATAAAAAATAAAAAATAGTATCTAATATCAACGGCAAATGGATTCACTTGAACTCAAATCAATTACAAACTTAGCGTATGATATAAAAATCCAGTGTGGATTTGTAACTTATAAGTGGCTTTATCATTCGAGCAAAACGTTGAGAATTAAGAAAATTATCGTTTTTTTCTTCTTTTCACCAACTGTATCTATAAGCTGAATTATGGCGGAGGCAGTGAAGAAGGAGGTTGAAGCTGAAACGTCCGCTGCTCCACCGCCTGCAGTGGAGGCTCCAAAAGCTGAATCCGGGAAAAAAACCGTGGCTCCACCACCACCAGCTCAGGAGAAACCTGAAGAATCCAAAGCTCTTGCCGTCGTTGAGAGTAAGCTTTGCTGCCACTTCCATCGTGTTTGTTTTTTACTCTATAGTTTCAACTTTCAACATCCCCAAATCATGGCATTTTTAAGCTTTGTTTAAGCTGCGTTTGGTTCCTTAATTATATACTGTTGCAAACTATAAAGGTAGCACCAAAATTTTGAACTGTTTCACGGAGACAAAAACCAGCTGGAAAATTAACAGTAGGCAATGAATCTTTATTATTTTCTTTGCTGATCGAATTTGTGCTGAATGGGTTTTTTTCATTGATTATGGATTTGTCTTCCTTTTTTTATTTTTTCATTTATGGTTGGTAGACTTCTCTTTCAAATTTATAGATTTATCACCTATGTATAACATAATAATCCTTTCCATATACGTGTGAGTTTAGAATGGTAGTCAATTTCTTTTCCAGATTTTTATGCGTGTGAGTTTTCCCGTCTTTCTCAAAAGCTATTTGATCGCTTTGTCGTACACAGTTTCAACCCTGAAACTGATTGAGAAAGACTTAACTTTTTAATTAAAGGATTAAATTCTCCTTCAAAAATGAAAACTTGACTCCTAAGAAAAGCATGTTAAGTTTCTAAAAGTAGAATCTTGCTTTTGAGACTAGGCTTCTTTCATGGGATGCTTAGAATTTTTTCATTTTTGTTTTTGGAAGTGAACCATATCATTCATTTACGTATTTTTCTGAACTTATCTCGATACATAACTGTTATGCATAGGATTCTTTACTTTATGGCACTGTGATCAATCAAAATTCGAAAGTCATCTTCACTCAGATGATACGTTATATTGCAACGAAAACCATATCTTCTAACACTAAAGATCGACTAGAATATGGTTTAGGGTGGCAGGGTGATATATATATATATATATATACACATATATATATTTATCTTGATTATATTTAAAATTATATATGCTTTTTGCAAACATTATTCGTCAAATATTATCATGGGTGTGGCATCTAATAATGATTATGCGACCCTTGTTTTATTATTCTTAAAAGATGAAAGATTAAAGTTAGATAATTATGCTTTGCTAAAAGTTGCTTTTACAACAAGACTTGTGCTGCTACAGCTTGCCTTATTTACTTGCTTTTAAGATTGAAAAAGAAACTTCAATTGTAGTGTTGTATTCTTTCTGTATTGATAGAAATACTTGACTCCTCAATTTGGTGATAGTTTTAGAGCAAGTTTTACTATGTTCTTATTCAACCTGAATTTTCTTGATGTACCTAAAGAGTGAGCTAGCTTTAATTTAAAACAGATGATGTAACTATTTAAAAGTTATTTTCAAGCTCACTTACAATCAAAATTCAATCTCATGGAATAAATGTTTTTTTGTTTAATTTATCCTTAATATTTCTTTAGTAGATTTGAAGTGATCAGTCTTGTGCCACAACTTTAAATTTTTATATAAGCCAAATGTCATCATTGGTCGTCACTCATCATTCTTGTGGTGATTCTAACATTACTTTCATTTTGACAGAGGCTCCCGAGCCTGCACCAAAGAAAATTTCAGGAGGATCACATGATAGAGGTAAGTGTTTGCAATACTTTTCTGATATGGTAACTTTATGACTTTATTTAGTTTTATGTAGCATATTAAAAAAGGATGTTTAAGATCCATCACTTCTTCGGTTTTTCAGATATTGCACTTGCAGAGGTTGAAAAGGAAAAAAGGATGTCATTCATCAGAGCATGGGAAGACAGTGAAAAGACCAAAGCAGAGAATAAGTAACAAAAACCCTATCTTATTTACACTATATTCTTTTGTCTTGCATAAAACTAAAATATATTGTAACCGTACAAGTTATCTTTATAGTTTTCAATTTTCATGATCTACTGTGAGAGTTTAAATGCTATATATTCTTTCACTTTACAAGTTATCTTTTATGGTTTTCATGATCTTCTATGAGGATTTTATTTGCTAAATATTCTATAAACTTGACTGAAACTGGTGAGCAGGGCCCAGAAAAAGCTCTCTGCTATTGTAGCATGGGAGAACAGCAAGAAAGCAGCTCTGGAAGCAAAACTGAGAAAAATTGAGGTAACTGGCCTTCATTGCTTTTTTTTTTTCCATCCACGCTTGAATTTCTTGATAAGTGAGGACCAATGGTTTAAATGGCTCTTTGATTCTCCAGACAATGTTTTTGACTTGTTCCATTCCACTTGTCAGTAAAACTGAAACAACATTTCACATTATGTTGGTATATAGCAATTGGGAAGTTAGAGTTTAAACTTTTAGGCTGAGAGCTGCTTTTGGATATACTTAGGAGATCATTTATCATTTGGGTTTAATTCTAACATTTGCACGTTTTGGTAGGAACAATTGGAAAAGAAGAAAGCAGAATATGCAGAAAAAATGAAGAACAAGGTAGCTTTACTTCACAAGGAAGCGGCAGAAAAGAGGGCAGAAGTTGAAGCCAAACGTGGAGAAAAACTGCTCAAGGCAGAGGAGAAGGCTGCAAAATTACGTGCAACGGGACAAACTCCAAAAAAGCTCCTCGGTTGTTTCTGAAGTTACAAATTTGCTGTCTGGTTTTGAAACAAATGTGATTAACAGTTTTCATTGCACGATTTTCTTGTTTGTAACTCTCTGTTTTTATCTGTATATTTCCTGTTGGTTTTCTATATTGTTTTGTGTCTAAACGGAGTGGAACATCACAATTATCTACTATCGAATGTGCTGATATATGAATAGAATTTTTGTTTCTTCGGAAACAAGTTTGAGGTTTTTCATCTGGGTTTTGGGATTGATTGGAGCATTTAAAATTTACTTCTTTGATATTAGCATAATTTGGATTCCTTATTATATATATATGCAGTGATTGCATGAACATGATTACATGACAGATATTTACAATGAAATTTGGAATGGTCAGAATTCTGATGAATATGGGGTCATATATTTCTGTTGATCCAGTTAAGAAAATAAGCAAGTAAAGAATTTGCAAATCACTGATTAAAAAAGCTGCAAAGGTTATAAGGAATTCATATCTGCTAGTACCATATACGATAAACAAACTGGGTTCAATGGTGGCGTCACCTCAGCTAACCAGCTAACTGCCTAGCATAGAAGTGAAGTTAGGCCAACAGGCAGTAACCTTAGCATACAACTGGCTTTGGCACTAAACTCCGGATCAAAATTCAAGCAATAAGGGCAATATAATACAAATCATGAGTTCAGGTAACCTTCGGAGGGGGAGATAAGAGATGTTTCGGTCAACATTGCGGCAGATGTGGCATAAGTATCAACATTTTCCAGGAAGCTCATGTCATTGTTAATGGGGAAATCCAACAGCAATTGCAGTGCAGAGTCTGATGAATCTTCTGACTCGTTTAAACATGATGAATCGGATGCATCAACTGGATCCTCAGTGCATGACTTGAAGCTCTTGCATTCTGTATCCTCAATTTGATTACTTGCGGGGGTTGAGGACCCTGCTATGTTAGGGCAAATATCAATGGTAACAGCTGAAACTGATCCACATTTTGTTGATGAAGATGTGCTTTGACAAGCAGTTTTATCTTCTGTATTCAACTTCCGAAACGATTCTCCAACTTCAGAATTCCATAAGCGTAGGAAATAATCAGAGTCAGGCTTTCTAAACGATGGTGAATTGAAGAGAAATGACTCCTTTGAAAGGCGAGCCTCGGCTTCGAGTCTAGCACTCTCCCATTGAGCCATGTGGCGGGTGGCAGGAGATGTAGGTACTGCTGCGGTTGGACCGCAAGGAGTAAAGGGCTCGTGAGTTTGTGGATCAAGACCCATGCAAAGTAGACGTTTCTTCAGGTGGGTGTTCCATAGGTTCTTGATCTCATTATCCGTTCTTCCTGGCAGTTGAGAAGCAATTGCAGCCCACCTGAAATTCATGAAGAAGATGAATTTTCATTCTTATGTTTGATACTAACAATTCTGTCCCCCTCCCCTGGTAATGATTCTGACATCTAAGGTAAATCCAATTTTGAAGAATTAAGCTAACAATAAGCATAGAAGAATACCTGTTTCCAAGAATGCCATGAAGCCGAATGACAAGTTTCTCTTCCTCAAAGGTGAAGGGACCACGTTTTATGTCTGGCCTAAGATAATTTGTCCACCGAAGCCTGCAACTCTTGCCGCACCGAAGAAGACCTGTCAATGAAGAAACCTTCATAAATATCCTTTAGGATTCACTCGGGGTTCTAAAGGAAATACCCTTTATAATCCATGTATTTACTACCCAACTAGACATTCTAAAATACTTTAAGCACTGGCTTTAATGATTTGTAGATTGTAAATACTGTGAGTTAAACATAAGCAACAAAGAAGTGGCAGACGGAAAGTTACTGATTCTACTTGTGGGATTCATCCACAGGGTGAAAAGACTTCTTTCAATGATTGAGAGAAGCAAACATTTCTACTGCAACAACTTTACACTTACTGCAACAGGAAGTAAGTGAAAGGAGCACTGCTTTAACTCCCATAAATTGTTGTGTCCCTCCAAAAGAAAAAAGGAGCATTAATGAAACAACAAGAGAAGCAACAGGAAGAAGGCACCGGGCACCAACTTATAATATTGCTAAAATGAATTGAAGATGGTGCTTGGTTCCATTTCATCTAGGTAAGCAATGTTAGTCAAGAACAAATAGTAGATCAGAACAAAAACATAATTTTGGATGGTGAAAGATATTAGTAAATGATCTAAAGCCCATGAACTTGAAAGATTAGTAAAGTACCCCAAAGCTTGAGATAATCCCACAAATATATTAGTATGGGAAATCCAAATGTCAGGATCAGTCCCTTAAGTCCAAAAAACAATTAATGGTTGTCCTAATGGCACTTTGGAAGTGTTTGCCTTAGAGGACACTAAGAAAATTCCAAAATGCTTAAAGTAAGTGTATACTTGATAAAACTACAAAAAGTTGTACATGAGAAAAAGCCCAAAAAAATTACTTAGAAAAGGGTTTTCTTGGACGAAAGTATGAAGGCAAAGGAGAGCAAACCTGCAAGCTTAGGAAGTGAACGCCAGCTTCCATGGCCATGTTCCTTGATGTAATTTACAAGGATCTCATCTTCTTCAGGAGCCCATGGCCCTTTCTTCAAACCTTTCCTGTCACAACATGGCGTCCTCCCCATCTTTTTTTTGTTTATCAAGATTGTTTTTAAAACCACAAACACACGGAAAAAAAAAAAAAAAAAGCCTAATTAAACAATGAAAAATATCAGTAAAACCCTTCAAATATTGATAAGAAGAAATTTACTTCACACTCTAAAACTCTACCAAGCAAAAGAGAGAAAGACTAAGAGTGTGCGTGTGTGTTGGAGTCACAAGTGCTGTGAAGTAAAACACATAAAAGAGGCATGACAAGAGAGGGAAAGAGATGCTTCAAATGCGAGCTTGAACTTATCTAGGCAAATCGAAAGTGATTATCTAATAAATAAATATAAATAAAGTCGGTACAAGCAAGAAAGAACGATCAGCGAGTTTCAAGCTGGCTTCTGCATCTTTCAATTAATAAGCGATATATAAAACAGTGTATGTATTTATGTTTAACAAAATACAACATTGAAGAAACTTGAATGTTGAAAAATCATCATTGAGAGGAAAAAAAAAAATTTGTACGAACAGCGGAGAATTAATGAGGGTTTTTTTTTTTAGGTTATTTTGAGTTGCACAGAACTGGGAAGAAATCGAAAGAAAAAAACAAATAGATAGAGAGAGTGTGTGTGCATTGAAGATGAAAGGGAAAGCATTAATAATGGATTCTCCCAGATAAACGACACAGAAATATTTATGGTGAAAGAGGGGAGTAATGGCTATGAAAATGACGTGCCTGGGATGTACACACCATGAAATAAACTCACCCACATAGGTTTTTGTTTGATTAGTCAGAAAACGAAAAAAAAAAAAAGCTAATCCAAGAAACTAACACTGTTTGTTGGGACAAAATAGAAGCTGGGGTTCAGGGAGAGTTGTCAGTTGATAATAAGCTGCTGTTCGTAAAACTAAAGAGTTTTTCAATCAAACTTTAATGAAATAGGAAAGACGTGGGATTGGCGAGTAGACTGCAAAATCCGGGGATGGAAAGACATAAATCACGTGGTAACACATGATAGGATATGAAGACGTGTTTGTTGAATAGTTGTTTTTTTGTTTGGATTCCGGGGAAAAAATGGTGGGTTTGTTTCGTTCTTTTCCTGTTTTAAATTTTTTTTTTTTTTTTTAAAGTGCAACAAACGTCAAGGTGGAGGGAATGGCAGAATGGCAATGGTAAGTCTTTTCAGTTTATCAGTATGTATAATAAATGAGGTCAAATACAAAGTCAAAAAAAAAAAAATACTGGAAACATCAGCACGACCAAGCAGAAGAGGAAGTTTGGTGACGGAGGTTGATGGGTTTGAATTTTTTTATTTAATTCAAATTAAATTTGATTTAAATTTTCGTCTAACATAACTTTTTTTATATATTTGGTTTTAAAATTATAAAGTATAAGATTTAATTTATTATTATTTTAATTCGAATTAAATTTAATTATTAAATATATATTAATTCAGATTAAATTTTAGATTAAAAATCAAAAATTAAAAATTAAAAAATTTAAATTATGCATTTTTTTATTAAATTTATTTACTTCAAATTTTTATAAAATAAAAATAAAAATTTTATATCTAAATATATTTAAATATTTTAAAAATTATATTAAATAATTTATAAAAAAATCAATGAACTGAATATGTAAAATTTAATTTAAATTAATTTAAATTCTAATTAAAGTTTAAAAAATTATAATATTATGTATTATAAAAAAATTTGAATCATATTTAATTTAATTCAAATTATCACGCTAACAGATGCATCAATTATGGAACGTCAGGACTTAAGACCGACCGACAGATGGTCATGTGTACTTTCGGAGCACATCCATGTCTTTACTTTTGTGCTTATGCAGTTGTAGTAAAAAATTTAAGAGTGTAGTACTAAACCATAAACCCTATTACTAGTGGCAGTAAATGTTAGAGAAGACATCTGCAATTTTGGCTAAGTGAATTATCATATTCGTGATTTTTTTTAATTAATAATTATAGAATATTATTTGTAATTATTTATTATATGTAATAAATAAATAAAAATTAAATATATTATAAATTTATCATCAAAAGCTTTATTAATTTTTATAAATGAATTTTATTATATTTATAATCTGCTTTATTTAATTAATGAATTTTAAAATATTATTTATTATTATTTATTAAATTTAATAAATAAATAAAAATTAAATATATTTATGAATTATTTATAAATCATTTTATTTATTTACATTCTAATTAAGATATGAAAATTATCGATTTCATTTAGAAATTACAAATTTTTAAGTTGAGTTGCACTAATAAAAATTAAAATTTTGCCAATATGGGACTATTAAAATAATTATCTCATAACATAAAAACGTGTAGAGGAGCTTTTTTCATGTTAGTGCCAAAAAGATGATGTTAAAGTTTGAGAAATTTGTTTCTTCTCTCATCCTCTCACCCTTTTCACCTTCAGAGAGATAAGGTTTCTTGCGGAAAATTCATGCATTTAAAGTTGTCTGCAACTTGTACGAATACAACCTCGAAATTATTTGGGAGCCACAACGATGCGCTTCTTTCGATCGCCGTCCAATAAATGAGAAAATCTGACACACCAAACCAAACCAAACCAAACCAGGGCTTATTTGTTCATGGGGCTACACACACTGCCCTTGTCCAACGAAAATATGGCCAAAATGCTTGTCAGTGCTTACCCTTGAATCCAAGTTTTTAATTACATTATTCTTCATGCAAGAAACCTCCACTTGAACTCCACAATTCAATGCGCCGGTGCTGCTTTATTCTGGTTGGTAAAATACCTTTTCGACTTGCCATGTAAATTCCCATAAAATTGAAATATGTCCTCTATTCCCATATTTGAGAAACAAAAAACAAAAAAAATAGACTTTCTGAATAAAGATTTTGTGTTTATCATTATTTTTTTTTTAAGCTTCTAAAGTTTTACCATTCCAAGAAATCTGAGAAGCATCTAGAATATTTGACATCTTTACAAGGTTGAACACAATGACAGTTGCCAAGAACATAATTGGTGGCGCATCATGCATTGCTTAAGCCCGAATTTTACAACAAAATTCATTCCCTGCCAAACTTTGTTCAGCGATGGCAAGCATCCCAACATGATTCTGCACACTTCACTCCCATGTGACAGATTCAGTCACCTGATGAAATTACAAAGTAGCAATGCCCTAAACAAATTGAAAATGGGGATAAGATGGCATCAAGGAAAATCCAACGAGTCATTTCTTTTAAGTGTCAGATGCTTTTATTTATTGAAATGACAAAGATAAGCAAATGCACCGACATAAACAAAGCATAAATTTCTCGCACAAGGGACAACCTTAAAACAATTCCACGATGATCAGACTAGCATAGAAGTAGGCAGTACCAAACCACATGTTAACCAAATCTAAAGCACGACTCATCTAAATTCTCTCCTACTATCCTGTTAACGTTTCAGGACTGAACTTTTGAGAAATCAAAGAAGCATTCAAGGGTTACATGCACACAGCACCAACTAAAAGTCATCCACCGACACCACCTAATTTTTAGATTGCACACCCATGTGCAGGGACGGACACCTTGAATTGACCAGCTTCATTAACCCTAACATTCAAACAATAGTACATCATCAATAATTGTGGCAAGAGATGAAATAATAAAACATTCTAAACAGGGAAAAGAGAACAAAGAAATCACTTCATGCATGTAATCTAAAACTGGACATGATGGTGGTTGCTCACCATTGTTACCACCGTAGGCTAAACAGGAAACATCCACCGTATATCACCGACAGTAAATAGCCTGATCGATATGTGGAGGAATTTGCTTAATTTCAGTCCCAAGTTCTTGTTCAATCCTATACCTGTTAGAGAAGACCATATAACATTTCAATGAATCAGGAGACTCAATGTATACGGTACTATAGTTTCAAAATAAAGATTTGTTAATATACAAGTTAAAGCGGTCCTCATAAGTGATCAAATTCACAGCTAGTCCAAGATGACCAAATCTTCCTGATCGACCGACCTGCTCATTAAGAGGATATCCCTGAGGATTAGCATAAAAAAAATTTGATAAACAATTCAACTTGCAAGATAGAAAATATCTTAACCCACATACCCTATGAAGGTATGTTTCTGAATTCTTGGGAAAGTCAAAGTTAATAACAACATTCACAGCTTGGATATCTATACCCCTTGTAAAAAGATCTGCAGCAAAAATAAATAAATAAATACATTATTAGGAGATTATTCTTCATATAATGACTATCATAGAATAATTACTTAAAGTAAAACTGTTTTCTGCACTAGCATTGGAAATTAATTCTAAGGAAACAAAAATTTGAAGTATGTTGGTTGAAATAAATAATTAATGCCAGCAGTGTTGTGTTAAAATAATAGGTATTGTCTATCAAAACAATAGAAAAAGAAACAGAAGATGAAAAGAAAACTAATGCCTAATACAAGAAACACAGCAAAAGAAAGTCCAACAAACTAAATCAGCAGTACAACGCTCATTTACTCGTTAACTAATCAAACTGCATGTGTAGATTAGCTCATATACCAAAACACACAGCATGGCACAACATACCAGTGCAAACAAGGTTCCTGCATGCCCCATTGCGGAAATCATGAAAAACTCTGTTCCGATGGTCCTGAAGCATCTTTGCATGGATATAAAAGCAAGAGTAGCCAAGTTCTGTAATTTTCTTGGCCAACAGTTCCACCCGATTAACCGAGTTGCAGAAAATGATTGATTGGTTTATTTGCAGCTGGATATGAATAACCATTACTTGTCATCCAAACAAATGAAAAGAGAGAAAACTTGAAAATGTTTATATAAGGTCAAACCTTAGAGAAAAGAGTATTTAAGCAGTGGACTTTCTGTCTTTCTTCCACAAAAGCATAATATTGTGTAATACCCTTCAGAGTAAGCTCATCCATTAGATTAATAATATACGGTTTTTGCAGGTATCTGTCTTTAAAGTCCTTAACAGTAACAGGAAATGTGGCTGAAAACATCAAAATTTGACGATTTGCTGGAAGAAAATGTATCAGCTGCTCTATAGAAGGTTGAAACTCTGGAGACAAAAGTTTATCTGCCTGAAAGAAACCAAAACACAAAACATCAGATTTTGCATATCATAAAGTTAAAATCAAGCATAACAAGACAAGGAAAATAATCAAATACTTTCTCCATTCCACCACAAGTGTCTTGCTTTCTTTTTGTAGAAACTTGTAAGAATTATTATGCTAATGAATGCTCACACTTCTGAATTCTGGTTCCAAAACTAACATTTATATAAAGACAAGAAATTTAAAAAAGAAAAAAGAATCAAAGGGTACTATGACGACAGAAGATAATAGTGCTCAGTCTTTACAGAACAACAGATATGGGATCTCTGGGACCTAATAAAGTGAATATACACAAAGAAAACTTGAGACATAACCAGAACCAGCTTCAGTAACTTCATATTATATCAGTTAAATTTTCCGAAGAAATTTTTAAATTAAGCATAACAGGGTATGGGGATACATCCTTAACTTACAAATAAGAATTAAGTATTTGAAATTACATTTAAATTTTCTTAAGAAAAAATCCAATGAATTATGTAACCAAAACAGTTGCCAGAATCTGGACCTTTGAAAAGAAACCAGTAAACTGGAAAAACAGATGAACAGAATTAATACTTTCCCTGCCAGTTTAGTTGATGGCAAATATTTTCAAACTGTAAACCTGAGGTGACCAGAACATACCTCTCATCCCACCCAACCAAATAGGATACATACAATAAATCACCGTTTGCCAAGATACAAAAGGAACAACTTTCTTTATCTATCCAAAACACTTCAAACTTCATCCAATTCTCTCATGTTAAACTTGAAAAGGAAAAAAATCAAACTGAGAGAAAATTATAGAGAGAAACTAACAAATAAGTACCTCATCCATGATAAGCATTGAACAGTCCTTCAAAATGCAAACACCCTTTTTAGCAAGGTCTAAAATTCTTCCAGGGGTTCCAACCAGTAAATGGACCGGTTGATACAATCGCATGATATCATCCTTGAGACTGGTACCTCCCGTTGTGACCATGACTTGAATTTGTAAATGCTTCCCAAGCTCCTTGCACACTTGCGATGTCTGAAGAGCCAGTTCTCGTGTTGGAACGAGTATAACAACTGTGCAAAGAACACACAAATTGAGTAAGAACAAGAAACTGAACAGATAGTTAATGTAAAATAAAAAAAATTGATAACTCTTTGTGCTAGAAGCAACATCATGAAAGAGAGAAGGGGGAAATGAAATTGACTCGTATCTTGAATTAAGCCAAAAAAGGTTAAAATAAAGAACTTATTTTGGGCAGGTTTTGGAAAGATAAGTGAAAGTTTATGCCTGGACTGCGCAAAAAGTTGCACCAATTTGCAAGAAGGAAGACATAATGCACTTGTTTCAGGAACTGGTACAAGAGTTTGACCGTCACTCGTCTATGTCCATCCATGCCAATTCCCGTAATTCAAATTTCAATCAACGATATGCACCAAATAGTCTTCTCCAATATCCAATTGACAAGCAGATCAAGCAACTAGAAGAACAATAAACAGTTGAAATGGCAAAGCCATCCTTCATGCAGTATCTATTACCATTTAACTGGGCCTATAATTGATACACACAAACATACCAAAAAGCAAAAATAAAAAAATCTGTAGATGGAGACCTAACCTTGAATAACATTGTTATCTTGGTCAATTTTTTCCAATGCAGGAATGCAAAATGCTGCTGTCTTCCCAGTTCCATTTTTGGCTCTAGCAAGAATATCACTTCCAGTTAAGGCAATGGGAATACTCTCTTCCTGAATAGGAGATGGTCTTTCAAAACCCTTCTCATATATTCCCATAAGAAGTTCACGTTTCAGAAAATAGTCCTCAAATTCATTTCCTTTGGTAGCTGTCACATCCTGACAGTAATTAATTAGGCATATTAGTACATAAACATGTCAGTTAAAAATTTGAAACATCTCCAAAAACCAAGAGTACCATTAACATGCCTTGTAATGAGATGTATGTCACAGAAATAAGATCATATGCTACCAAGTATGAAGTAATGCAAGCCTAAATATAGCACTTTGATACATATGCTCAAGTCAGAAGGCCTCAACATCAGAGAACTAAATATCATTGTCCTGAAGTAAAAAACATTGGAAACTGTCCATTTATAATTGTATATCATAAGATAATGGGAACTAAAAAAAAAATCCAACTGCCTTACCAGAATAACATAAGTAAGACAGCAATTTGTCCTTCACCATTCCAAAGAGCTGAGAAGAATTTTTATAGTTTCATGAAGGTATGGCAATTATCTAGGTGAAATATATAAACCTACGCTGGAATTGCTCTAGCATAACTGATAAAAGCCGAACCATCAGGGAGTAGTCAATTCAATGCACACACAATTAATATATGATTAACAGACATACCTCTGTTTTGTAGCGCGTATCTGGTGGAGGTATCTTTAGCCCTGCCTTCCAATCTTGTGAACTGAAAGAGGAATAGCCATGACAAGAATTCAAAAATCAAATAAAAACAAAGTTTCAATCTATAACATATACAAGAAAAATCTCCAACTCATTGTCACATACAGAGTTAGCAATCAAAGCCTAGAATTATCGCCTAAGGTGATTTGGAATACTCGTGTAAAATAGTCTACCATTCAAGAAAATCAAGAGAAATAACGCCACAAAATACAACAGAAAAATAGTCATAAATACAGATAACAACATAGGAAGGGACCTTGAGTCGACGGCTTCGGATTGTACGTTCTTCTCGACCTCAACGACGACAGTAGAGTCATTGACGCCGGGCAACTGGTTTCGCCTAAGCCACAGCTGTTGCCGTTGATGATGTTGTTGTTGTTGTTGTTGTTGAAAGTGCTGGTGATTTTGCACCAAATTCCTCTGCACGTAGTGCTGTTGCGGCGGCCTCGACTGAAAGCTAGGGTTTGCGTTCACTCCGCCGCCCCGGCCAACGCCGATTCCCGGTGGATACCTCCCTCTACTATTCATATCACAACCCTAAACTCCAAAAAACCAGATTCGAAACCCTAGAAAAACTGAAATTTGTACACAACTACAACAAGAAAAATCAAAAGACTAGGGTTTCTTGCAAAAGGGTAACGCCGTAAATAGTGGCAAAACCAAGAGTCGTCCTAAAACAAAACAAAGAAGCTAGGGTTAGTTAGTTGAAGAAAAAAAAGGGCTTAGATCGTAAATTTAAGTGAAAACTGAGGGTGATGTTGCACAGATCTGGCATAAAGATAGGAAAAATGAATAGATTTTTGGAAAAGAAATCAAATGATTTTTTCTGTTTTAGGTTTGTGGGTGCAAAGGGTTTTGATTATTTTTGGTTTAGTTCATAGTCGTTTCAGGGCTTTGCGAAGAAAATGGGGAATCATACTTTGCTTTTTTTTCTTCTGTGGGGTGTCTTTAGGGCGTCCGGTTCGGATAGATGATTTGTTTTTCTTTTGTAAATTTTGATGCATTGGCCTGCTTGGTTTTTTTTTGTTTAAATTGCCCCACCAACAAGCCGATTTTTTTACATTTAAAAAAAAAAAGGTAAAAAAGAAAGACATGGTGAATTAAAAAAACTAAAATAATAATAAATTTATACATTTTATCATTTTAGTTAGATAATTTTTTTTATATTTAAATAATTTTTTATTTTTAATTTGTATTTAAATAAATTTTAATCTTTAATTTATATTTAAATAAATTTTTAACTTTTAACTTATAGCTAAATAAACTCTTAATTAATCAATTTTTTATTTTAAAATAAAAATTTATTTATATATAATAAAAAATAATAATTTATTTAAATAAGAGTTTATTTATAAAAAATAAAATAATTTAAGAACCTTTTTAATATTTTAACCAAAAAAAAAGCTTAGCAGGGAAGGTGCTTGGTGAGCGAGGAGTAAGAAAAGCGTTGGTGAGCTAAAGAACAAGCCACCAATATATTTTGGAAATTATTATTGCATTATTATCACCAATTATCAAAACTTTAGGGATTTTACCGTAATTTACATCAAATAAAGAGAATGTAGAAAAGTCTAGAGTGAAAAACAAAAAACAGAATCATGGTTGAATGCTTTTTGTGGATTGATTGTAGCTGTAGGAGCAGAAAAAAACCAAGTTGCTTTTGTACCAAGAAAAAAGTAGCCATAACTGTGTTAAATCCTTATGCTCAATACATGGCATCAAAGTTTAAGTTCAACACATGAGAGTAATCAATAAAAAAAATGAATATATGACAAAGGACAGTGCTTTTTAATGTAAAAAGAAATACTGTATTTATTGATTTGCAACCTTAAATCGCATCTATGTAAAATGTTTTTATTTCAGCATCAGCCTTTTTCAGCAGGAAGCCTTTTATCTGTAGCTGCTTCAAAGGAAGGTGCAAATTCTCTTCTTAGATTCTCAAACTTGTCTTTCAATGCCGTGTTATCCAAGGCAGCAAGAATCCTCTCCTTGATCTCTGTTTCTAGTTTTTCTACTCTTGGTGAACTAGAGCCTTTAGCCATCTCTGCCTTCAACTCCTCAATTTTGCCACGGAGACCTGATACATTGATTATCCTTTCGATCTCTCCACCGATCTCTTTGTTCACATTTACAATCTTCTGTTGTAGCTCTGGAACCTTTCTGTTTGTCACTCCAACGATTTCCAAGTTAGCTGACTTCAAAACTTCCATGAGTTCTTTCTTAACTTTTACTGCCTCTGCCACCAAATCCTCATCAAGTGGATCCCCTTTGGACAAATTTTTCTGAGCATTTTTCAATTGTTCCAACTTTGCTTTGACCTCAGCTGGAATCTTCTGATTTATCTCAGTTTTCAGTTTCTCACCTTTCTCTTTCCGCTCAATGAGTCTGCTAACCATGCTTAGATTTTCAAGCTTTTGCTTTAAGCCAAGATAGGCCCCTGGCCGTGACAAATTTTGCATAAATTCTTTCATCAGTTTATCCACCTTCACCTTTAAATTATGATTGAGGGGCTGATTATCAGGGGCTCTGGATAACTCCAACTTAAGTGATTCAAGCTTCTTTTGAAACCCCATTGAAATGAATGCTCTGGTAACCTCCTTGTCAACATCCTGCTTAAGTTTTTCTATAGCTTGGTCCGTAGTTGGATCTGAAGGTACCTTTGCCTCTACAATATTCTTCTTTAACCTCTCAAGATCTGACTCTATATCAGCAGCTTTCAGCATGCTGGCATCCGAAGGCTTCATGTTGCGTTTCTTTTCAGGTTCCACTGGCTTTGGTCGCTTGCCTTCTGGGAAACGTTCAATTGACCGAAATTTCAGCATCCGATGGTGAAGCAACTCTTCTGTATTCATTTTTGTTAATTCCTACATTCATTTGAATCTCACTGTAAGTGGCCAAAAGGAAAAGAAAAAGAATAATAATGACCAAATCAACCTTGCAACAGAAAATTTTGGAAAAGTAACATCTTCCGGTTGTGCACAAAAGGAATTCAAATGTAAAAGCAGGATTTTTTTTGAAGAAATTATACTGCATCAAACACCATTCTATGGCAGAATCCCATAAATGCTACAAGTTATGATTACTTTAAAGTTCCCACTAGAGCAATGGTTAAAAGAGAGAGAAAAAAATTAATGACAATCTTGAAAACAATATCTTCCGAAAAGTTAAAAGTTAATTTTCCAGAAAATAACCATTTTCATTTAAGAAATGACTCCGGTAATAATGGACATACACACATAATATACTTAAATGCCAACTTTTTTTTAGTTATTACAACCTAAAGGTTTATAAAGATATACCGTGCTTTAAAACCTCTACATGAGTAGGCAAATTTGTTTTCCTTTTCTGCATGCAAATTTGTTAACATCACTTACCTCCATGGCCCGAGTGATTGCAAGTTTAATTTGTTGGGAAGTCCATACAGGATCAGCATGTGCACCTCCAAGAGGTTCCTGTAAAAATGGAACTTATTGTGATAAACAGCCATTACCAAATCCACTGCATTGGAAGGCTCAAGAAGGAGGAAGAGAAACGTGATAAAACTTAAGAGGTTCAAGGTGCTTACACGGATGATACCATCAGCAATTTTGCGCTTGTAATGTTCTTTAGCTGTTATCCTCAGTCTTTCAGCTGCCTATACAAGTAGTGAAACATCATTCCTGACATAAAAATGGTTCTCATTTCAACCATCAAATGAATCACTTACCTTAGGAGCTGCCTCGGAAGATTTATACAGTATAGCAGCACATGCTTCAGGACTGATCAGAGAATCATGGTCAAATTCATATATAAAAGAAAACATGAGCATGTGAAAACAAAAGACAGCTTAGAAGTATAGGAAATATAGCATGGAAAAGAAATCTCTAAGAGTTGTTAATATATCTGTTGCCAGTTAAAGATGAACTTTAGAAACAGACGTTATTCAAAACCATGTAGAAGTAGTAGCGTGGAAATAAGCTGATCTTCCTGTTTCTTTTTAACGATCACTGACCAAAGAAAAACTAAAATCTCAAATTAACTAAGGAAATTAACATGTAAAGCACCTTTCTAAACTTGGAAGGATAAGTTATGTATATATTTGTTTTAATCATTTTGTGCATCATAATCTTCAGTTAAATTTGTATTTTCCAAGTGACCTTACTGAGATAAGGAGGGAAGAAGGAACTAGTCTCACCTTGCAACATATAGAACAGAGTTCTCAAGCATAAACAATTTATTGGGACAAGCAATGGCCAGAGCCCCACCAGAACCACCTTCACCAACAATAACTGTTACAATTGGCACTTTAAGGCCAAACATGGTCCTCAGGTTTTGGGCAATTGCTTCCCCCTGTATAGGGTAAAACATGAAATGGGCCATATTATTATATGAACTAGGTGTTTGAGAATTTAAAGTAGGTAATATCACAATTTCCAAAGTTAGAAGATAGTTTGTAGACACACTTGACCAAGTTCCTCTGATTTGAGATCAGCAAAGGCCCCAGGAGTGTCAACAAATGTAATAATAGGAAAACCATGATGATCAGCATACTTCATCATTCGCAAAGCCTTCCGATAGCTGTTTGCAAAGCTCTCATATGAGTATTTGTTTATAAATCAAATGTTGTAACAGATGAAATTTCAAACTATTTTCAGCAGACTTTCTCAAATATTAAAGGTTATGATCACATCTCTGTCACCTCTACATCTTCTATGAAGTAAGATAAACTAAGAAAAATTCCAGGACAATTCAAATATCAAATAAACATGACATCTCATGCAAGCTGAACCATCAAGTTACTTGTTCAAATAAAAGATCCTTGAAACATACCCATGGGGAGTTGGCATTGCAAAATTGCGAAAAATGTTCTCCTTTGTATTCCTACCTTTCTGATGGCCTATAAACATGTAGCTCTTACCATCCATGCTGCCTATACCAGTTACTATAGCTGGATCATCATAGCCTGCACGATCTCCATGGAGTTCCACCCACTATAAGAGAGTAAAAGAGTAAGAGTGTAAGAAAGTAATTTCAGAAATTCTTTCAGGTTCAAACATATAAAAGCTATGTACCATCCAAATACCTTCTCTGTGATATTTAATATATGATCAAGAGCTGTTGGTCTGTTGGGATGTCGAGCAATGGTCAGGCGTTGGATAGGTGTCAAATGGGTGTATAAATATTTCAGAGCCTGATGTTTTGAACAAATAGAAAGTTATAGATATGTGAATAAGCATGTTAGGAAAAAGTAAATGTGGACTGCAATTTTAGTGAGAATATTAGCAACCAACAGAGGCCTATGCAAAGTGTACTTCCAAACCAATCGGTGGGTTTCTCATTGTTATAACTTATAATCTAGGAGCCTAGGAAAACAAATTCCATGCCTACATTTTGACAAAAAAAGTTTGACAACTGCCAGAAATCTTTAGTTTTACAGGTCTTAACATATAATTCTTAAATTTGCCACTGATAATGAATGAAAAAAGTAACAATACTGATGCTTAACATTAAAACAATCATGACAGAATGGACAAAAGAACACATTAGATTAACCTGTTGGTACTTGTTTTCCAAAGCTCCAATTTGATCAGTAAAATCCAGACCAGTTTCATCAGCCATTCTGCTTACCTGCCCAAGAATATATTTAGCAAAATAACAAATATATAAGAAAGGCTCTACATCTTAGTTTTGTGCCTTATGAACACATAAAACTTCATGACATAAGGAAAAGAAAATTGATCCATTTTAAGATCAGAAACAAAAGTAATATTATATTGACATAACATGATACAGTTGAAAATTTGTCCCTATAATGGGTCTTCACTTGTCATGAATCTTCACCATGTAGCCTTGCACCAATAACAAGTTTTTAAAGAACATTAACAGAAACATTAAAAATGGTTCAAATCTTCTCAAATAAGTAAATATATCAATTCAAACCAAGGAAAAGCAACTCACCTCAATAATCTTTTGCTCGAGACCAACCAGTGGCTTCTCAAATGGTAAAGTCACCGGTTTTGGTTTCTCATCCAAAGGCTTGAAGTAAGACAGGTAAGCTAAGTGTCCATCAGTGATATTTGGATCAATATCATCAGGCCAGGGGTAATCATGCTTCTTCCCTTTCTTAACTTTCGCAACAACACAAAACCTCTTCTCATTTTCATTCCTAGAACCTTTTAAAGCTTTTGACCAATACCCATTTGCTCTTCTAAATGAACTATTAAGCAATTCACTAGCCAAAAAGTCTTTCCCAAAATATGAGTTTGACCCGAATTCGAACCTTCTATCTTCTCTTCCTCCTCTCCTTCCACAATTTCCAGCTACTAATGATATGGTAGCCATCTAAACCATCAACTCACTTCATACAAATCCAAAAATGCTACTGTAACATTAATTCTTCATGTATCAATGATCCATTCTTTGTATTTTACATGCCTGTTAACAAAATGGATTAAAAATATATATATTTCAATTCCTTTCAGATGCCATAATTCACCTTGTCAAAAACAAAGACTCTAATGCCAAGGAAGAAAATGACTTTAACATTCATCAGTACAATAATTCTATCTAACAACAGTGAAATTCCGATTAAACAAATTCTTGAATTTAAGCAATGGAAAAGCCCATTAAAAAAAAAAAAAACAAATTACCAGAATGTTGATTAGAAGAAGCTGATTGTGCTTAGAAATTTAGGGTTCCAGAATAGAGAAGAAGCGATTAAGAATGAAAAAGGTCGGAGACCAACGGTGGAGATGTCCCCTGCTTGAACCCTAAAAGAGAACCAAAGCCGCTTGGACTTCAACTGGGAGTTTTTGTCGACAAATAAAAAATACGAGGCGTGGGTTTCGCTGGGCGTTGAAAGGGAAACGATGTGGTTGGGCTGTGTATGACACGTGCTTGAAGTGAAGGTGAAGTTGACAGTGGTAATCCACGTTGAGGATAAGGATCAACTAGCAACAAAAAACAAAGCGACCCGCCGAGGTTGTGTCATGCATGTCGCACGTCATTTTGTTTGGCTTCATGCCATTAATCAAATTTAATTAGAGAAAACTTAAATAAAATTTTTTGAGAAAAATTTGTGAAATTTTTTATTAGAAGTAAATAAATATAAATTAAAATTTTTGGTTATATATATTAAATAGGTAAAATTTTAATAAATTTTAATAAATTTTGATGTATATTTTTAAATAATTTTTTGTAAAAAAATTAATAAAATTTTTATTATTAAATAAATATTAATTAAATTTAAATTATAAATAATTATTTTAATAATTTTTTTACATATTATTAATTTACACATTAATTTCTATCAATTCATTAATTTAAATTTTTATTAATTCATTTTTAAGAACTTAAAAAATCCCATATAAATTTTATCTAATTTCTTTATCCTTTGACTTTTTTTCACTTTTTAAAATAATTAAAATGTTAATAAAAAGTTAATTTCTTTAAAAAAAAGGGAAAAAGTGCAAAATTAATTTGGGCTTGGAAAAAAAATGATGGGTTTCGTATGACAAAATGGGTGGAAAAAAAGCATCCAAATAAAATGCATTTGATGCTAAAATGAAAATTATTTACATAATTAAGTTTTATGCAATATAAACCCTGATTTTGTTTTTTAAATTCTAATTAAGAAACTACCCAGTTTGACTACAGAGAGAGCTATAGGCTATAGCCTGATTCCGGATAAGGAAAGTTGGCGGTGAGAAGAACTCTTTTACAGTGAAACAGGGAATTTTCTGAATTAATCAGTAAATCAATAATTTGTTAGCTTTTGACTTAAACTTGGCTTGTTTTGTGATTATTCAACAGATATCAATGGAAAAACAGAGCTATGGGGAGATTCATGACTGCGTGATCAAGCAGGTTAGTTTATTTTATCAGTTTATAATGAAATAATCAAAGTAGTTTATAGAGGATAAATAGCTGGATGCTAAGCTGCAGAGAATCAATCCTCAAAGAAGAAAAGACAAAGTTTACATTGGTTGTGGAGCTGGGTTTGGTGGTGACCGGCCAATGGCAGCTCTGAAGTTGCTTAAAAGAGTCAAAGAGCTGAATTATATTGTTCTTGAATGTTTAGCAGAACGTACCCTTGCTGAGCGGTACCAGGCTATGGTGTCTGGTGGTGATGGCTATGATTCTAATAGTACGTTAACCTTACTGTCAATTGTTTTGAGTTCTAACCTATATATTTCTTATTGTTGATTTTTCATTTTTCTCTAAAATGTTTTTGTTGCTGTTAATTTTTCAGTTTCAGAATGGATGTCTTTGTTACTACCTTTGGCTGTGGAGAGGGGAACTTGTGTAATTACCAACATGGGTGCAAGTATGAATATTTGGAAGCAGAGATTCAAATCTTATAATATCTTCCAAATTTAACAAAATCTTTGCCTTCATATTCCAATTTATCTGTGATCTTTTCTTTTATTTTGACCGTATCATTTTATTCTTTTCTGGACAGTGGATCCGCTTGGTGCTCAAGAGAAGGTTTTAGAAATAGCCAGCAGCCTTGGGCTTTGTGTGTCTGTTGCTGTGGCTCATGAGGTCTTTGTTAATGAGTCAGGTATGCCTGGCCAGTTGGCTTCTTCTAAAGTGTATGAGAAATTTGCTGGTGAGTTCAGATAACTGATGATGGTATGATCTTTATTTTAGAAAATATAGTCTTCATATAGATTGAGTGCAATGCAGAATTTTTTTGGCTTCATTTTTTTTAGCACTAGCAGCATTCTCTGACTCCAAATTCAAAATATTTTCCAATATTCAGGCTCGGTATCATTGCCTGAGAAGCCGGTTAGCATGGAAGGTGTAAGAATCTGGTACTCCTTGCCTGTATAATTCATTGGTCTTCATATTTATATCTTCAATTGCTGTCTTGCTTCTTTATGGTTTTAGATTTCTTTTGCCTTTAGATTTTCATCCATGGACATGTGCAAAGGGATTCATGGTCACATTTTCATCAGCATGTGCATTTTGCCATCTTTTAGTCGTGAAATTGGATAAGGAACGCAAACTCTTGAGCTCCGCTTTGTTTAATCTCTGAAGGGTATTAGCACATATCTAGGAGCAGCTCCAATAGTTGCATGTCTGGAGAGATACCAACCAAATGTTATAATTACTTCAAGGGTTGCTGATGCTGCACTATTCTTAGCACCAATGGTATGAAAACCTAACCTTTCTTTCATTACTCTGCTCTAGGTTTTTCCTTTTTGGAGTCTTGGTATAATTCTCTAGGTTTTCATGACTTTGCACATCAAATTAGTTTTACTTATCTGCCATTATGATTCTATTCATTATCATCATTATATTTGACAGCAAGAATTTTTTGGCTATACTATGACCTTGCATTAAGGAATTTAATCAGAATGATCTCATTTATATGTGATAAGGTTTATGAACTGGGCTGGAATTGGGATGACTTGGAGCCATTAGCACAGGGATCTCTGGCTGGACACCTTCTAGAGTGTGGTTGTCAACTCACAGGGGGATACTTCATGCATCCAGGTGAGTTAGGAAAATAGGTCAATTAAATTGGAGAAATCTGATTTACTCAGTTTCAATGTGCTGCATTTTCTCCAATCTAGCGGACAAGTATCGGAACTTGTTTTTCACACATCTCCTGGATCTATCACTGCCATATGCTGAAATTTCATTCACTGGGAAAGTATGTGTCATGAAGGCAGAAGGTAGTGGCGGGGTTTTAAATTTCAGTACTTGTGCTGAACAACTACTTTATGAGGTTGGAGATCCAAGTTCTTATATTACACCTGATGTTGTAAGTCAAATTACATTTTTGGAAATGTAGCTGCCACTGCACTGAAAGAAAAAACTAAACAAAAATAGGCTTCTTGTAAATGCAGATAGTTGATTTTCGGGGTGTCTCATTCCAGCCGTTATCTAGCTCTAAAATTCTCTGTATTGGTGCAAAGCCTTCTGCTCATCCTGTACCTGATAAACTTTTGCAGTTGGTTCCAAAGGTAACCTACTATTCTGAGGGTAATGTTTTGCTTGTGGGAGTTTTTTTTTTTTTTTTTTAGTTTCAGTTGTGTAGTAGATGGCTTATAGGTTCAATCTAGAAGGTTTGGAGTTTTTTACTTTTCAGATTCTTAGTGTCGTGTTAACCTGATTATCCATTTTTCGTATGTACATGTTTTGGGGCTGCTTGCCTGTGTGTGTTTGGGCGCAGGTGGCTTTGGGTTTGAATCAACACTTTTGGACGATTAATCTGATCTTACATAGTAATGCTTGAAATGATATAAAATTCCAAATGAGTATTGTTTTGCCTTCTTTTCCTTTATTAATAACTTCCTAGCATTCTATATTGGAAGATATAACACAGTTCAGTGACCTTTCTTCAGTTGTCTAAACCATCATGCTTGACAACTTTGCTAAAGGCAAAGACTTGACAAATTGCTTCTGTTGACTAAGATAATATGATATGGCTGAGAATTGTTCTTTGCCTATGTGATTCCAGTATTTCACTGAAGTATGTCTTCACTCTTCACTATGTGGTTGAGGGAATTCCCTTGTTACTCCCAGTTGCATATTGAATTCCAGGAATTCCCTTGTGACAATTTTGATATGCTGCTTATGTTGACTATGATATGTGTGGTTTTAATGTCTTCTCAGATAGTTGCTAAGCCATCTAATTCGTCTTGTTTCCAGGAGTGTGGATGGAAAGGATGGGGTGAGATATCATATGGAGGATATGAATGTGTTAAACGTGCTAAAGCTGCTGAATTTCTTGTAAGGCTGCTGTAAAAAAACTGTTTGATGGTTTATCGTTACTTAAGTTGAGATGATATTCTTTGAAATTGATCCTTGTCTTTAAAAGTAATCAAAACACTCTGCTCATTGTTTCCACTGGACTTTTAATATCCCTTTTCTTTCTTCATAAATTAGGTTAAATCATGGATGGAAGAGGCATTTCCCGATGTCAGTTGTGGTGTTCTTTCTTATATAATTGGACTTGATAGCTTGAAAGCTACCAGCATTGATAACTATCCATTAACATGGAGGGCTAACGAAGATATTCGGCTACGCATGGATGGACTATTTCAGGAGAAGAAACATGCAGCACAGCTTGCCAAAGAGTTTACTGCATTATATACAAATGGACCAGCCGGTGGTGGTGGTATCAGGTACATTTTCTAATTTTATGTCTATTGCATCTACTGTACATGTGTACGTCGAATTAAACGCCAATAGTGTATGTGTAAGGTTCTCTGGTTCTAATTTTTATTAACTGCACACTTTTAGTCTTGTTTGTTATGTATAATAATCTAGTCGCAGTATTCTGCACACACCTTCCGGTTGTTTATACATCAGAACTTTCTGTTGAAAGCAACTTTATCTTTGATGTGCGACTTTCTTCCATGGCTGAATGATATCTTTGTGTCTAACCTACAACTTTTTGTTCATTAATGCAGCACTGGGCTCAAAAAGGAGATTGTTCTTGAAAAGCAATTGGTACTCTCCCACTCCCCTCCTTCCATTTAAGTAATTCCTTAGTCCATGAAGTCAATTCTGTTGAACTTGAAACCGTAATGAAGCCAAGATCACATATTCGAACTATTGAATTCAATAGTTTTTGGATATGCTTTATTTATGATAATCTTTTGTAGTATGCAAAGTACAGATACTCAACAATTTCTTCCCCTGACCTTTACTTGAATTTGTTCCTTCAAGTTTATATCCTATAATTGTTAAGTTTAAGATATATTTGTTATAATCTTATTGAATGTGTAGCACGATATATTTCTTAACAATCATCACTCTGTTTTCCACTTAGATTGGACGTGAACATATTTTCTGGCGGGTAGGGGCAAAGCGAACAAAAGTTGGCGAATCAAAATGTCAGAAACATGTCGTTGAAGATGTTATGAAGGCAAATGTTCTGCATGAACCCGCATTGCCACCATTTCCACAGGAAGATATGCACAATTCTTGCCTAGATGGTTCAGTTGCAGAAATTGGCCTTTCTGCTGCTCCCTGTGGGCAAAAGATTCCACTTTATAGTATAGCCCACAGTAGGGCTGGAGACAAAGGAAATGACTTGAATTTCTCCATCATCCCACACTTCCCGCTGGATATTGAGAAGCTGAAGCTTATCATAACACCCGAGTGGGTAATGGGTGTAATCTCGGTCCTTTTGGATGCATCCCCAAAAGCCATTGATGATACAGAGAAACAGGTCGATGAACATGTCAAGGTGGAAATATATGAAGTCAAGGGAATCCATTCTTTAAATGTTGTGGTTCGAAACATTCTAGATGGTGGTGTCAATTGCTCTCGCAGGATTGATCGGCATGGAAAGACCATCTCGGATCTTATATTGTGTCAGCATGTGGTGTTAGCTCCATAATTTTCAGTGTTTAATTACAATTAAACCTTAAACCCCGGCAGGAACAATAAGCAGATATAGTTGTTTCAATTTAATGCCATGAACAAAAAGCTAATTTTATTATTAATTTAGTCATCAAAGTTCAATTTTTGGCGGTCTCTATTACATATTGACTCAAATTTTAATTGAAAATTAATTTGAATTTTAATAAAATTTTATTAATTAAAGAATTGCTTGATAATTAAAAATAAATATTTTTAATGAATAAGAGTTTTTAGTAAAAAAAGATCAAGTAATTGAATTTATAAATATAAAATAAGTATTAAACTTTTAAAATTATAAAAGAGAATTATGAAATCTCTAGGAGATAAGTTTTTAAGGATGTAAAAAAAAATTTATTCGGAAAAACACTAGTTGCACGGGATAAAAGATATTTCATAAGTTATACATTAGAGAGTTTAGAAATTATGTTTTAAAGGTTGGAGATTAACGTTTGTTTATGATGTTTTATATTTTTTATAATCTCTACATTTACAGTGATTTTTTTTTTCATCTTTTGATGTATGTAATTAAACAAGATCACGTTAAATATTATCTCTTGCACGTGATTTATTTCATATTAATCTCGTTATTAAATTTGTTTTTACTTAAAAATCCCAACACTTGAATATAAAAAAATGAAATTTGTTTAATGTAGTGTGTATGCCAGTGATATCCAGGTTGCATATAAAAGTCTAGACAAAAACCTGGAAACAATTCAATGTATATATTATCACGCATGCAGTTTGTATCAATTACATAAACAAGCCAATCCAAAACAAAATGTGAACAATCAGACAAGAAATTAATTCAACTTTGATGAGAAGGTACGCCACCCAATCATGGTGGGAATTATAAGAAACAATGGCGCGTTAATTTTAAGATTTCTCTTCGGATTGGTCTTTATCAACCGCAGCTTCCAGATCAGCTTGATTTTCAGCAAGTTCGGAAGATGCAGAGGAGTTATTTCTCTTGTGTGAAGCAGCCTCGAGAACATGGTCGTAGTTTCCTTTCTCCATGAAGAGCTGAGCAAAATGATGCTTGCAGTAGAGGACCCCATCCAGAGCAGCATAAGAAGAGTGTGTCAGAGGACAGCCTCCATGAGCGCACCTGAAGCATGACTTGTGGAAACATTCCCCTTCCATGTTAACCTGTCCCCAAAAAGGTGAAACAATATCAGTAGAAAAATACTGACAAATTGAAAAGATGAAAATCAATACCGTACAATTTACGAACCTTCTCCAAAGGATACACAATCTTCTCGCAAGCGGCACACTTGTCTTGGGTTCCACAGAACAAGGATGAAAGTTTGCTGGGAGTCCTAGACTGTAACATATTACAGAAAACTAGTGTCATAATAATCAATTGGAAAGATAAAAAATTATCTTGACACTTGACAGAAATATTGTGACTGAAATCTCTGTCTCTAGTTTTCCTTTCTGTCCCTGTTGAATGAAATTTAACGGTAGTTTTGCTTTGGCTAGAAGTAGTATTCATTTTTTTTTTCTTTTTTGCGTGGGGGGGGGGGGGGGTGCTCGGGATGGAAATGCTATATTAATCTAATCAAAATGCAAAACATATAAAATCAAGGAAGAAATACCAGGTCATTTTGCTTCTCAGACTTTGCTGCAAAAGTGATCATCAACGAAAAATAATGTTGTTAGCCTTAGCCATATAGAGGCTGAAAATGAGGGGCGTGAGGGGAGGGAATTAAAAGAACAAAAAAATGGGGATACAAGATGTGTCTTACCTGCTTGGAAATTCTTGCTGAAATTGCCAGATTCCTTGAATAGTTGCTCGAAATGAGGCTTGCAGTACAGGACTCCATCCATGGAAGAGTAGGTGCTCATCTGTAAAGTACACAATTAACATGTTCAACTTGTTAACACATTTTTTCAACAAATGATTTACACCAACCTGAAATTTAGAACAGAAAAGAAAAGTTTAATGTAAAAAATGACATACCACAAGGTTTCCCTTACAATGGGTGCATTTGAAGCAGGTTTTATGGTAAGGCACTCCTTCAAGAGACAACATATCCACCACATGGACAGTCTTATCACATGCCTTGCACTTGTCCAAAGTTCCGGTGAATGACATTGTTTTGCTTAATTTCTTTGAACTCGGAAACTCTTTGAAGATGTTATTAGTATGCAAACACAACAGATCCGGGGAACAAGGAACTGTTGGACAAGAAAGCAGCTTGCCCCCCTTGTCGGTTACCTCTGACAAATGAAAGCAGATCAAAATCCTTGCCCTGTTTTATAAAAACAAAAAACTGATATTTATCAGATTATAACGGACTTCTTCTGCCTTTTCTTGCAATTGGATAAATTTGATTGTTTCGGGCTGGTGATTGGCAGACACGTGATTGGAGATCCCGTATTATGTGGATGGAATGAATCCCATTGAACTGGAGAGAAACCAGGCTTGTGCTTTTGACCTCTTCAAGAGGAGAGCCAACTATTTTTTCTAATTGGAGTTGGTTGCTGGTATTGGTGGTGGGCATGTTTTGCTTATCTCATATTAATAATGAACCAAGATTGAAATCAAATCAAAGATTATCGAAATTCCAAAGAATTTGAACCAGCCAATGGGTTCAAAATCACTAGCACGAATATTTGTCAGGATTTTGTGCCATTCAATTGAAATAAAATACTCGTAAAAGTATAACATAACAAACTCCAATCCAATTTTGAAAAGAGATTAATGATCAATGACACGCAATGAAGAAGTCGAGAGAAACAATTAGTTATGTAATTTTCCCTTAAAATTACGGTAGTTATATATTATTATGTAAATTGACGAGTAAGATTTATAAAAAGAAAAAAAATTATATAAGTACATTACACAAGTTTTTTTTTTAACAATTTACTTAAAATGATTTATATGAAACAAAAAAAAAAAAAAAAGTTATATCGGCGGAGTGTAGACTTGTTCGTGGTTGTGTTGCCTATTAGGCTCATATAGTCTCAGTTAAAAATTTTTAAATCCCTGATTGGTGCGACACGACCTGTTAAATCAGTGTCTTATAAAATAATTAAAATATTAAATATAATTTTTTTTAATAATTTAATAATAATTTTAAAAATAAATGATTTTAAATTAGAAATATCAATTTTACTTATATCTAATAAAATTGATTTTTTATCTAAATAAAAATAAAAATATGTATTATATTATAGATATAGAGATAGAAATTTGTATGATTTTAAACTTTTACCAAGTATGAGTTTTTTTTTTCTTTTTTTTTTGAAAAATAATTGAGATGAATGAATTTTTTTCTCAAAAAACAAAAATTTCTCATCATTTTTTTTTAATGTGAATTTTACTGATCAGTAATAATAATATCAATTATTTTGATATGCACAATGATTTTAAGCTTGTTATAAACTTTATAATTTTTTCAAATAAAATTAATCAATTCAAATTTTAATTTGATTCGTATAGGAATACAAAAAGTAATATATTTCTACAAAAGAGAAAGTTTTGGAGTTCAAATAAAATGATTTTGTTGATTTATTTGTTGATCTAATTGATATGTATATCATTAAATTAATATCATGTATCATAATAGAATATAAGACAATTCTTATATCCATCTATTTGTTTTCATATACTTGACAGAATATATATATACCCATCATGTACTTTATATATATTTATATATATTTAATAAATAATTTTTTTATTAAATAATATAAATTATTATTTTATATTAATTAAAATTAATATATTTTATTAAAAAATATATGTTAGTAAAAATTATTTAAATATAAAAATAAAAATAAAATTATTAAAAAATAAAATTTTATTTAAAAAAAAATTAAAAATATTAAAATTATTCATATTTATTAAATACTTTTATTAATAAAAATAAAATTAAAATTAAAATATTTATTGAATATGAATACGAAAATATATATAATATAAAAATTAAAAAATGAAGATGATAATAGCTCAATTCTACTTATACCTTACCCGACATCCATATTTTAAATAAATTTTAATAATTGAATTAAATTTAACTTTAAACAAATATTTAAAATATGAATCAAACTCAATCTATTTTAATTTGTGTTATGAATAAATCTAACTCAATTAGATGAATATATAATTATTAAAAACCCATAAAAATGAACGTGGAACTCCGTAATTATAATCGGCCAAAAACACTCCTATAATTATACGGAGGCAACCGATATAGGGCAAGAGTCTTGATTGGCTAAACAAATTGGGCGAATGAATAGATTTGTTCGAATCAAATTAGGCTCAATTAATCTTGAAAATATTTTGCTCAAAGCTTGATGTGGTATGTTGGGGCCAATAAGCTTAGTTGTTTTAAAAAAATTAATATTTAAATATTTTTAAATGTATTATAAACTTTAAATTAAAATAAAATTATTTTTATTATTTTAAAATATTTCGGATCAAGTCCGGTCCAAACTTAATCTCTTGTTCCGGCTCATCTCGGACGGACCAATCAAATCAGACGGATAAGTATAACCCGATTCAGATCAACGATTGAAGCAGACCCCGCCGGCGCCGCTACCCGCCCTACTGCCGTTCAAATACGCCCATGAAACAAAATCAGAAGCTCCACGCGTCTCAACCGTGAATGACACTAACAGGTATAATACCGAAGGGCAAACATCGAGCCAGCCATTCTACAAAATAAGGGTCATTTTAGTAAATTCAAATGCTGAAAATGTTTATCCACCAATCACCTAATTTCCCCGTGTAATTTTCCCCTTCTCTTTCGTAGTTCCCAAACAGAAAAAAAAAAAAAAAAGAGGAGAGAAATTTTAAATTTCTAATTCTAACCTCGCAAAAAACTTAGAGGGGAAGAAATGAAATAGAAAGCAAAAATAATAAAGGCCACGTTGATTTGTTTATCAGTTGTCATCTTCTGCTCTTTAGTATTAACTTTTTCCTCCCAAACTCCGCCTCTCTCCAACATTTCTTCCCTTGTTTGATCGGTCAGTTCACTCTCCATTCACTTTTATTTATCGATTTTTGTACAAAAACACGTATGTATTTAAGTAGCTATTTCTACGTATATGTTATCGTATGAGTATAAATTATTTTCCGATTTGCTGTTCTAGGGCTTCTAGTGTGGATTCATTAATACTTTGTTTGTTTCGTTAGCTCCTTTGATAAAAGGTCAATGAGAGTGCTTGAAATGCGTTGCCAAGAATAAATATCAGTGTGGCGGAGAGAGATGGATTTTACTTGTAGTTTTAAGCATCCCACTATATTTCATGTTGATAAAGGTACTAGTTATCGGATATTGGATCCATTATGCCCTCGGTTTAGACGTAGAAATATCAGTTACGATGTTTTTGATCCCAAGTTTGGATCGAAAACTCGGTCTCTAAAGAAAATTAGGAAAAGTATGGCGTATAGTGGTTGTTTGAGTTCAAATTTGGTTTTCAGAGGGAAATTTGATAGTCATTTATGCTGTAAGTATTCGAGTACATCATTGTTTTGTGGTTTACATGATGTGTTGAAAGTAAGAGGAGTTAGGTCACGTTGTCAAGGTAATGATTCTTTGGTGTATGCCGATGGGAATGGTCGGAATGTGGAATTTGCAGAGAGTAGTGATGAGAGCTCGAGTGTCACTGTATCAAATGGTTTGGGAGAAGAAGAGAGAAATGTAAGTGGTGAAGTGGAAATACCTACTGTGGATGAGTTGAGGGAATTGTTGCACAAGGCAATGAAGGAGTTGGAAGTGGCACGTCTTAACAGTATGATGTTTGAGGATAAGGCTCAGAAAATATCAGAAGCTGCTATAGCCTCAAAGGACGAAGCAACTAATGCTTGGAATGATGTTAATGTCACGCTTAATATGATTCAAGATATTGTGAACGAAGAGTGTGTTGCTAAAGAGGCTGTTCAAAAAGCAACAATGGCACTGTCTTTAGCTGAGGCAAGGCTTCAGGTGGCAGTAGACTCATTTGAACCTCTGAAAGAGGGAAATGATTCCCCAGAAAGTTCTGGGGAGAGTGATGTGGAATTCGATGTTAGGGGGGATAATGGAGTGCTATTGGCTGCAAAAGATGAGATTAGAGAGTGTCGGGAGAAGTTGGCAAATTGTGAAGCAGAGTTAAGGCACTTGCAGAGTAAAAAGGAGGAGCTGCAGAAAGAAGTAGATAGATTGAATGAGGTTGCTGAGAAAGCACAGATGGATGCCTTGAAAGCTGAGGAAGATGTGGCAAACATCATGCTTCTAGCAGAGCAAGCTGTTGCTTTTGAATTGGAGGCTACACAGCATGTGAATGATGCAGAGATAGCCCAACAAAGAGCCGAAAAGTCTCTTTCTAATTTGACTGTTGACACTGCTGAAGCCACCCAGGGGCAGGTTTTGGGTGAAGAGATCGTTGTCGAGGAGGAGATTATCAATCAAAGGGGTTCTAGTGATCTTGTTGTTGAAAGAGAAAGGGATGCTCTGATTAATGGTGATACAGTTGTCGCTGAGCCTACATCAGACATCTTATCTGATAAAGCAAGAAAAAGTTCTGAAGATCTCAAACAATATGATGATTTGATTGATCATGAGAATGGAATATTGGGTTTAGATTCTCCGAAAGAAGCTGAAATTGAACCAGAGAAGTCAAAAAATGTTCAACCAAAGAAGCCTGAAACTCAAAAGGATCTGACAAGGGAGAGTTCAGCCCCTAATATCCCAAAGTCGTCATTGAGTAAATCTTCCCGTTTCTTTTCTGCATCATTCTTTTCCTTCTCTGTTGATGGGACAGAATTCACACCAGCATCAGTTGCTCAGGGTCTTTTGGAGTCGGCAAGGAAACAAATTCCTAAGCTGGTTGTTGGAGTACTGCTCTTTGGAGCTGGGTATGTTTTGAACGTTACCACCTTGTTTCATTAACTAATTTAATTATACCACTGTTCTTTAAATTCCTGTATATGTCTTTGCTGAACATTGTTGATTTCCTTCTTCATGACTCAAATGCTATATTAGATTAACTTTAGTTTCTCATGGAAGCTGTAGAAACAACATGTGTTTCCTTTGGAATGCAATGTTCATTTCTTCTTCTATTAGTAGTTTAGATCTAGAAAATTCGCTGCTTGACTATAATCCAAACAATGAATCAAATCTTCAGAAAAGGGCTATTCTATTGAGTTAGTGTTTTTATCAGTTTGTTGCTAGTTTTAAGATTTCAAGCTTGCAAAAAATGATTGCCTGCCTTTGATCACAGGGTTGTCTTCTATGCTAATCGGGCAGAGAGGAGTGCTCAGCTGCTGCAGCAGCCAGATGTTATCACCACTGGTATAGAAGAAGTTTCCTCAAGCGCAAAGCCTCTAGTCCGACAAATACAGAAATTTCCTAAAAGACTCAAAAAATTGGTTGCAATGCTTCCTCATCAAGAGGTATGCGGTCCTGCACCATTTATTAATTTCCCCTTTGATTCTTTTGATCTTAATCCTACTGTGCATAGCAGCTTGTCAGCAGCTCATTTCAAAATGTTTGAATTTCCCAGATGAATGAGGAGGAGGCTTCCCTCTTTGATGTGTTGTGGTTACTACTTGCAAGTGTAATTTTTGTGCCTATATTTCAGAAAATTCCTGGAGGTGACTAAATTCCTGCATCCTTTAGTTCAAATTTGAGTGTGTTGCATTGCGATGACATTCTTAAAAAATGCATGATCATTCTTTTTGAGAAGACGTTCGGAGCTCATGCTTGAACCCTCTGTTTACTTTTTATGATTTTCCTCATGGTTGGAGTACACTAAATTTTGTTTTGTTGTTTCCTGCTCCTTGT